CCAAAGCTAAGCAAAGTAAAGCTAAGCCAAATATTTTTCAAATTTCCGTAAATTCTAGGTCAAGTCAAGCTAAAGTCAAGGTTTTTGACTAAATCTAACTGATAAGGCTAAAATTCTAGGCTAAGGCTTTGGCTAGGCTTTGGCTAGGCTTTGGCTAGGCTTTGGCTAGGCTTTGGCTAGGATTTGGCTAGGCTTTGGCTAGGATTTGGCTAGGCTTAGGCTTGGCTTGGCTTAGGCTTGGCTTGGCTAGGATTTGGCTAGGATTTGGCTAGGCTTAGGCTTTAGCTTGGCTATGGCTAGACTTTGGCTTAGCTTTGGCTTTGATTTTTTGGGGCAACTAGTAGAATTCATGCCTTCATGCAGAGAAAAAAAGACAATCTAACTTTGAACTCAAATTTCTCAGTGTTGGGCTGTCCAATTTGAATATTTTTGATATCATTTGATGCGCCAAGTCTTTCTCTTTCGATTGGTACAAAAACTATTTAAATTGAAGACCCCAACACTGAGAAATTTGAGTTCAAAGTTGGATTGTCAATGGGAAAAGGGGCGGGGCGCGTATAAAAGGTGTCCAGCTCCGTTTGCCATTGGCAATCCAACTTTGAACTCAAAAATCTTGGTGTTGAGTTGTCCAATTTAAATGTCCTTGGTATCATTTGATGCGCCAAGTCTTTCTCTTTCGATTGGTCCAAAAATTATTTAAATTGGACAGCTCAGCGCCAAGAAATTTGAGCTAAATTTGAGTTAAATTTTACTAGTTGTCCTTTTTTTTTGCCTTTCAAAGCTCTTTCAAACCATATTTGCCCCTGAATTTCATTTCTTTCTATTATTTCAACTCCAAAGCTTTCAAGTCTACTTTGTTTAGCTCAAAATCCTCACCAAAAACACATGTTTACCTGTGCCTTGAAAATGGATTTTCCCATGATCAACTCCCCAAAAAAACGCCTTTTTTTCGAAATCTCTTTCTGCTTTTTTAATAAGTGAATATTTTTAAGGAAAAAAGGGATATTTCTGAGAAGAAAAGAGGAATTTTACTATTTTCAGCATCGTAAATTTCATTCAATACAAAATTTTGGCACTTTAATTAGTATATTTTATCAAAACAGAACGTCTATTATCATTCTAGACATCACAGAGACTAATGATCAAAGAATTTCAAAATTTAAAGCCTTTTTGAATATTCATTGGCTATTAAAGTGGGGGGAAATGATGAAGGAAAAGAATGGGAACAGTTAAAAGTCTAATTAAGAATTCAAGGACTTCTTCCTTTTCTAAAACGTCTTCATTTCCTAAAATTACCGTAATCTTAGCTATTTTTCAGTCAATTTATCTATTTTTTACATTCTTCAATAACTTTTACAGAATTTTAGCAGAATTAAGGCAAAAATAGCAAAATTAGATTAAGAAATAGCTAAGATTATGGTTTTTTTTTTGCGCAACTCGCCATAACTTTCTTCTAAATGGGCCAATCTTTGTGATTTTGGTGTCATTTTGTAGATCTCAATAAGCGCAACAAAATGATACCAAAAACATAAAGATTGACCGACTTAGAAGAAAGTTATGACGAGTTGTGCAAACGTTGATGTTGACGTTGACGCAAACTAGCCCCCTATTTCAATAAAAATCACTTTATAGATTAGTTAGTAAGCCATAAACTTGAGCTAATCTATTTTTAAACCAAAAAAACTCTATCTCCACTTTGGGGTAGGTAAATTGGGGTAGACTAGTTTCCGCAGCTTTTTTTGCTTAACAGGACCATTTGCGAAACTGGATCGTTTATGCAACTCGCCATAACTTTCTTCTAAGTTGACCAATCTTTATGTTTTTGGTGTCATTTTGTAGATCTCAATAAGCGCAACAAAATGACACCAAAAGCATAAAGATTGGCCGACTTAGAAAAAAGTTATGGCGAGTACAGTCAAAGCACAAAGTACGGACATAGCGCTGGCGTTTATGCCTTGAAAAATGCAAGTCTTCTAGCAGACTACAGCAACTATTCCAGGAGACAATATAAAAGCCTATATAAAACTGATAAAGCTAACAATAGGACTTACAGAACAATAGGAATCAAGCCAAAACTGTCAAGTCAACTATGCCCGTACTTTGTGCTTTGGCTGTACTCGCCATAACTTTCTTCTGAGGCGACCAATCTTTGTGTTTTTGGTGTCATTTTGTTGCATTTGTTGAGATCTACAAAATGACACTAAAAGCATAAAGATTGGTCGACTTAGAAGAAAGTTATGGCGAGTTGCGTAAACGATCCAGTTTCGCAAATGGTTTTGTTGCAAATGCTCTCAAAATTGAATCATTTTAAAGAGAAAGATCCTCTCAAAATGCACTAAAACTACCGTATTCTAAAAATATAGAATAGCCAATGAATTTTGAAGAAAAATACCGTAATCTTTCGCATTTTCGACTAAAGAAAAGGTTACGGTAGTCGAGAAAGTCGACACGTTTTTCGAAACGCGTTTCATCGAGAGAAAAATGAACTTGTAAACACTTGTAAACCCTTGTGAACTAGTAAAATTTGGCTAAATTCACTCCCGCGATTTGTTCGATCACTTTTCCTTTCTTTTTTCCCCAAAATCATGGTTTTATCTCTCGAGTTTGCCCCTATTTTGTGTGTGTCCTTGTCGCCAATTTCCACCTCCGCCGAGACTTTTTTCTCGCTTTCAAAATAAAATCTTTTCCCGTTTTTGGCGAATTCGGAACACTCACACACTAAAAAGTGATATCGATTGCTTTTCTTTTTCATTTTTTTCGTTCTAGGAACTTGATTAGTAGTTAGGAATTAACTAGGAATCTTTCCAGACTTTGAGACTTCCTTTGAGAATAACTAGAGCCTTCCAGACTTTCAAACTTCCTTTGAGAACCACTAGGGATCCTTCCAGACTTCCAATCTCCTTTGAGAATAACTAGAGATCCTTCCAGACTTTGAGACTACCTTTGAGAATAACTAGAGATCCTTCCAGACTTCCAATCTCCTTGGAGAATAACTAGAGATCCTTCCAGACTTTGAGACTTCCTTTGTGAAGCCAATAGGGCACTTTCTAGCACTTCCAAGCCTTCCTGTAAGTACTTACTTGGGCCTTTTCTGGGACTTTCCAGTGCACTTTCTAGCTTCTCATCGTCAAGCCAATGGCGCACTTTCTAGCACTTTCTAGCGCACTTTCTGACGTACTTTCTTGCGCACTTTCTAGCTTCTCATCGTCAAGCCAATGGCGCACTTTCTAGCACTTTCTAGCGCACTTTCTGACGTACTTTCTTGCGCCCTTTCTGGCGCACTTTCTAGTGCACTTTCTAGCTTCTCATCGTCAAGCCAATGGCGCACTTTCTAGCACTTTCTAGCGCACTTTCTGACGTACTTTCTTGCGCACTTTCTAGCTTCTCATCGTCAAGCCAATGGCGCACTTTCTAGCCCAGCGCCTCTGACGTACTTTCTTGCGCACTTTCTAGCTTCTCATCGTCAAGCCAATGGCCCACTTTCTAGCACTTTCTAGCGCGCTTTCTGACGTACTTTCTTGCGCACTGAATCCTTCATTACCTTTTCTTTGACTTATTTGTCTATTCTTTATGTTCAAATCTCTAAATTTAACCTTTCTAGTGCACTGAATTCTTCATTTTCTTCATTAAATTACGTCATTATTGCTAGGAAAATGAGGAATTCAGTGCACTAGAAAGGTTATGTTTCCATTTCTTTCCCTTTTCCTTCAAAATTCCTTATCACTTTTCCGAAAAAGCTATTTTGTTTCGATTTCAACTCAAATTCAAATTCAGAAAAACTCGTAGCACTTTTCTTTTCGCCATTTTCAATCAAATAACACTTTTTTTTACGGTTTTGAATCTGTTTCTTATCAAAAAAAAAGAAGAGCCAACCTTGAAACAAATCTTTTGAGACGAAACGACCTAGCTTTTGACCTAGCTGTTTTTGTCCTAGCTTTTGACCTAGCCTATTTCTGTAAACGTCACCTTTCTGGTGCACTGGATTTCTCATTTTCTCTAGAAAACGAGGAATTCAGTGCACCAGAAGGACTGTATTTACATTGGCAAAGAGCTGACCCTTCAAGAGCTGACCTTTCAAGAGCTTTTCATCTTTCAATTAAATGAAATTCTTTCAGCTTTTTTTGAATTCTTTCGTACTTTTACAAGTTTAACTTTTAGAATCAAGAAGAAAAGCGAAAAAAGAGGATATTGGAATCATATTCGGATTGAAAGCAAAGCCGGATTGAAATCAAATTCGGATTGGAATCATATTCGGATTGAAAGCAAAGCCGGATTGGAATCATATTTGGATTGAAAGCAAAGTCGGATTGGAATCATATTCGGATTGAAAGCAAAGCCGGATTGAAAGCAAAGTCGGATTGGAATCATATTCGGATTGAAAGCAAAGTCGGATTGAAATCAAATTCGGATTGTAATCAAATTCGGATTGAAATCAAATTCGGATTGAAATCAAATTCTGATTGAAATCAAATTCTGATTCAAATCAAATTCTGATTGAAATCAAATTCTAATTGGAATCATATTCTAATTGGAATCAAATTCTGATTGAAATCAAATTCGCATTCAAATCAAATTCGGATACAAATCAAATTCAGATTCAAATTCAAATCTTATATTCAAATTAGAATCAAATGGCGGATTTGATTACAAATTGGCTTACTTCGACTTTCCGTCTTCAGAAAAAGGAGAAAAAGCGTCGCGAGAAAGATCGTAAAACTGGCAGAAGAAATTCTTTACCATATCAATATGGATGCAATGAACAAACGCAAGAAATGTTGAAAAGATATAAGAAACTAAAGGATAAAGATGAGATAGACAGTGGACACGATCAAGAAAGTGACAATGAAAGTCTTGATGAAGATATTGAACGATTGGAAAGCTTAAGAAGAAGAGCTTACGTTGATCAGATTTTATCTAGAACTCGAAAGAGATTATCGAATAAAAGCGCAAAAAGCGATTCTTTACAAGAATCTTTACAAGATCAAGATCCACACGAGGAAATGATCGAATTGCAGAGGAAATGTTTCCGCAAAAATTGTGATGGCTTTGGTTTCTTGAATCGACGAGCGCTAAGCGATTCGGAGCTTTGCATTTCGTCGGATGAGGTCAGCGAGAGGACAAGCATTCTAGACAAATATGGCCTTATTGATGCGGCCGAAGAGGATTTCCCATTGCCGGCGAAGACTTGCATTTGTATCCCGGATGGAGTGGTGATTGGAGAATTCGAGTGCACTGTATCACCGGAGTTCTTTGAGAGTCTTGCAAAATCGTTTGAGCACGAGCATGAGCACGGGCCAATCGTGGAAACAAGCGATGGAAAAGAGGTGAAAGAGTTGGAGAAACAAGCGTCACAACCGATTCTAAGGGAAAGGCCATTGCTGGGCGATTTGCCGCTAAGAGTCAGCGATCCGACTGGCAGAAGTCGATCGAAATCACCCGAGCACAAGGAAGAGGTTTGGTTTTAGATTTCAGAGCTTTGAGAGCTTTGATCTCTGAGCTCTAGAGCTTTGCTCTGAGCTCTAGAGCTTTGCTCTGAGCTCTAGTGCTTTGAGATCATGGTAGACATGAGAAATTCCAAGCTAAACCTAATTCCATCTGTATTTCCTCTTCTGCAACCGTTTCTTGGCCGATTGCTCTGATTGCTTCTTCACCGATTGCTCTTGTCTACAGATAGAAATCAATATTTTCAGCTTCTAGACAAAATTTGAGAGTAATCGACCAAGAAATGGTTGAGAAAATGAAGGTGAAATTAGGTTTAGCTTGGAAATGTGTGTTACCTTGTTAATTCTGTAATTCTGAATTCTCAGAGCCAAAGCCGGGACAGCAGCGCTCCACCTCTGCCCAGGCGGGTCGTCTCACTGGCGATTGGTGGCTTAAAAAAGTCATTGGGAATTGGAAAAGTGAAGAAAGAGGTGTCCCAAGAAGAGGACGGGTCGGAGAATGGACACGACGATCATCACAATCACATTTCAACCCTTCGACAACATTTGAAACGATCGGAAAGGGACAGCCAGTCGTCAGCGAATACATCGATTTCTAGCTATTTCTCGTTGCCACGCCCGAGTCTCAATCGACAGAATGGCAAGGGTTTTAGAGAGCTCAAAAATGACCAGCTTTTTGATTTAATGACTCAGAAATTGTACTCAATACTCAAACGAACATTGTACTTTGTACTTGGTACTTGATACCGGTACTTTGTACTTTGTACTTTGTACTTGTACTGGTACTTTGTACTTGTACTGGTACTTTGTACTTGGTACTTTGTCCTTGGTACTGGTACTTTGTACTTGTACTGGTACTTTGTATTTTGTACTTGTACTTGGTACTTTGTACTTGGTACTTGGTACTTTGTACTTTGTCTTTGGTACTGGTACTTTGTATTTTGTACTTGGTACTTGGTACTTTGTACTTTGTCTTTGGTACTGGTACTTTGTACTTTGTACTTTGTACTTGTACTTGGTACTTTGTACTTTGTGTTGAGAAAATGTTTAAACACAACCTTCTGGTGCACTGGTTTCTTGCTTTTCTTGGGATTCCACGAGAAAATCGAGATCTAATAGAGATCTCAGTGCACTAGGAAGGTTGCCTTTTGAAGCACAAAGTATAAGCCAAGCCAAGCGGAAAAAGCCAAGCTTTAGGATTACTTTAAAAGATGACAAGGCACAGAGAGTTAAGCTGGTTTTTTTTGATTCGAGGTCAGCTCCACTGACCTAAGCTGAACTTGGGAAGTCAGCTTGACTCTGTGCCTTGTTCGATAAACAATTTGATTTGCATTACTGACATGATTTTAGGCCTTCCTGATGATCTCGCTTCGTGCATGTCCCCAACTAGCAGTGGTCCGCTCACTGATTTTGAAGAAGGAATGCCCGAGAGGCCGTCTAGATTGCAATTGTAAGCTTTTTTTTCTAAATTTCTGATAGAATAGAACGAAAAGTCAAGTACTTTTGGATGATTTTTCGTTTTTGTTTGATTATAGGCAGGCTAAACATGTTATTTTAGTTGGAAAAGGTTGAGAATGATTTAAGAATAGTTTAAGAATAGTTTGAGGATGTTTAAAGATGTTTAAAAATGTTTAAAGATGTTTAAAAATGTTTAAAGATGTCTAAAGATGTCTAAAGATGTTTAAGAATGGTTTAGGAATATCTAAGAATGCTTTAAAGATGTTTAAAGACGTTTAGGAATGTTTAAGAATGTTTAAGCATGTTTAAGAATAGTTTAAGGATGTCTAAGGATGTCTAAGAATAGTTGAAGGATGTTTAAGAATGTTTAAGAATGTTTAAGAATGTTTAAGGATAGTTTAAGAATAGTTTGAGGATGTTTAAAGATGTTTAAAGATGTTTAAAGATGTTTAAAGATGTTTAAGAATAGTTTAGGAATGTCTAAGAATGCTTTAAGAATGTTTAAGAATAGTTTAAGAATGTTTAAGAATGTCTAGGAATGCTTTAAGCATGTTTAAGAATAGTTTAAGGATGTCTAAAAATGTCTAAAGATGTCTAAAGATGTCTAAAGACGTTTAGGAATGTTTAAGCATGTTTAAGAATGTTTAAGAATGTTTAAGAATGTTTAAGAATAGTTTAAGAATGTTTAAGAATGTCTAAAGATGTTTAAAGAATGTTTAAGAATGGTTTAGGAATGTCTAAGAATGGTTTAGGAATGTCTAAGAATGCTTTAAAGATGTTTAAAAACGTTTAGGAATGTTTAAGCATGTTTAAGAATAGTTTAAGAATAGTTTAAGGACGTTTAAAGATGTCTAAAGATGTCTAAAAGTCAAGATGTCTAAAGGTGTCTAAACATGTCTAAACATGTCTAAACATGTTTAAAGATGTTTAAGAATGTTTAAGAATGTTTAAGAATAGTTTAACCATGTTTAAGGACATCTAAGGACTCATTTTAGCTTTCTATCACGGTAGTGTTTCTATCACAGTATTGTTATTCTCTTTTTAAGCGAATTTTTGAATAATTTTTTGGTCTAGATAACTTTTTAGATTCAAATCGCATTGAATAGAAGTTTCTTTTCAGAGAACTGCCTTTATGGTCACGTTTTGGCTTGTTTGATGCCGATGAATACAATTCTTGGTCGAAGAAATTTCGCACTGATTCCATGGTGGCAAAAGAAGTGCTCAGACAGGATAAAATATACGGTAAAGAGTTGAATTTGATGATAAAACTGATGAAAAATCTCTAAAAATACAAAATCTCTTGAAAAATCTGATCCAAAAGCTTCCAAAAGCCTCCAAAAGCTTTCAAAAGTTTCCAAGAGCCTCCAAAAGCTTCCAAGAGCTTTCAAAAGCTTCCAAGAGCCTCCAAGAGCCTCCAAAAGCTTTCAAAAGCTTCCAAAAGCCTCCAAAAGCTTTCAAAACCTTCCAAGAGCATCAGAAAGCCTCCAAAAGCTTTCAAAAGCTTCCAAAAGCCTCCAAAAGCTTCAAAAAGTTTCCAGAAGCTTATCTTTATCCAAAAGCTATTTTCTTTAATCGCAAAATGTTGCGTAAACCCGGGATGTTAGAAAGTTCTTGCTTTTCCAACATACGTAAAGTCTACACCGTAAGCTTTCGCGTTTTTGTCCCACGTACATTTGGCTTATTGGCCGAAATGTCGTTCAACTTAAACGCCGACTGGGATCGAACCAGCGATGAGTGGACGGGAAAACAAAGGGCTAACCACTCGGCCACAAGAGCATCCCGGTCTCCCCTTTCGAGACGGCTTTTCTTTCCTTTGGAGGCCTCTTTGTCGACCAAATCTGATACAATTTTTGATGAAAAAAGGTTTAAAAATCGATTGTACTATTGTAAAGTAAAGAGTAAAGTATTGTACTCTTGTACTCTTGTACTATTGTACTATTGTACTCTTGTACTCTTGTACTCTTGTACTATTGTACTATATCTATATATTTATCGTAATATTGATCTAAATTCTTCTTTTAGAATTGATTTCAACGGAAAAACAACATTGCGCAAATTTGGCTTTTCTCAAGCAAGCATATCGAACTCGATTTCTAGAAGATGCTCACGATTTATCCCTTGGACAATATGAGGTTGGGGAAATTTGCATTTAAAGTCAACTCTCTATTCTAGATTAATATAGAAGTATTAATATAAGTATAAAAAAATGTAGCTAATTTTGTTCTGCATTCAATAAGAATAAGAAACACAGAGAAACCTAATCGTGGAGGGGAAATTTTTGCTGTTTGTACATGACGTTGCCAGCTCCTAAAGCCAACTCTTGACCAACTCTTGACCGGCTCCTAAAGCCAACTCTTGACCAGCTCCTAAAGCCAACGCTTGACCAACTCTTCACCGGCTCCTAAAGCCAACTCTTCACCAGCTCCTAAAGCCAACTCTTCACCAACTCCTAAAGCCAACTCTTGACCAGCTCCTAAAGCCAACTCTTGACCAACTCTTGACCAGCTCCTAAAGCCAACTCTTGACCAGCTCCTAAAGCCAACTCTTGACCAGCTCCTAAAGCCAACTCTTCACCAACTCTTGACCAACTCCTAAAGCCAACTCTGGACCAACTCTTGACCAGCTCCTGAAAAACGTTAGATTGACTGGAACCACTAGGAATCCTTTGTACCACTCGGAATCCAGCCAATCTAACGTTTTTCAGGAGCTGGTCAAGAGCTGGCTTTAGGAGCTGGCAACGTCATGTACAATCCAAATTCAATCCAATGCAAATTCACATTGTTATATCCAATTTTTTGGATTGTTTCGATCTTAAACAATCTTCGATTTCAGATCGACATCCTGATCCCCGATGTGCTTGACGCATTACTCGTTTTCCATATCAATTTGCTTCATCGCTTGACGGAGAGACAAAAGGAAAAAGATCAAGTTGAGACGATCGCTGACATCATTGTTGAAGAGGTTTGTGAGTGCAATTCGATATTAGACTAAAGAATTGGATAAGAGAGGCTGCGTCAAAATCACGGCGACACCTTTTCAGCAAATTGAATGCCAAACGCTGCAATCAATTCAAAACCCTAAGTATTATATAGAGAATTGAAGCCTGAATCTTTGCCTACATTTCTGTAGAAAAAGATCTTTGATTAGAGTTATGCAGCCGATTTTTCAGATCCTCAAATGAGCCCTAACCGACCAGTCGGGGAGTGAGAGTGAGCTCATTTGAGGGTCTGAAAAATCGGCTGCATAACTCGAATCAAAGATCTTTTTCTACAGAAATGTAGGCAAGGATTCAGGCTTTAATTCTCTATATAAGAGTTAAGGTTTTGGAATTGATTGCGGCGTTTGGCATTCAATTTGCTGAAAAGGTGTCGCCGTGATTTTAACGCACTTTGTAGTTTTATAAGAATTGGATATTAGACAAAAGATCAAAGAAAGAAATTAGATCAAAAGATCTCAGATATTAGAAAAATCTGTTTTCAAAAATCTGGCCTTTAGCCCAATAAACTTGAATTTTCAGCTCTCCGAGTCTGGAGAACACACAGCTCGTGCTGTCAATGCCTATACGACATTTGGGGTAAACAAAGAAGAAAGCGAGAAGAAATTGGAGGAATTGAAAGAAAGAGCGCTGTTTAGGAAATATCTTGATGTACGTTTTATTGGTTATTTATCATTTAAAGGCTTTATCTACTGAGCTTTTGTGCTTTTAAACTCTCTGCAAACTTCTTTAAGCTCCTTAAAGCTCTAAGCTTTAAGCTCTAAGCTTTAATCTCCAAGCTCTAAGCTCTAAGCTCTACGCTTTAAGCTAAGCTCTAAGGTCTAAGCTCTAAGCTCTAAGCTTTAAGCTCTAGGCTCTAATCTCTAATCTCTAACCTCTAATCTCTAATCTCTAACCTCTAATCTCTAATCTCTAATCTCTAATCTCTAAGCTTTAAACTTCCCTTCCTGGCGTATAGAATTCTTCATTTTCCAAGGCACAAAAATTCAGAAAAATTCAGTGCACTAGAAAGGATGGGTTTAGATGAGAGCACAAAATGCACGAGTTGATTCTAAGCATTCTAAACTAAACATTTCCAGAACCTCGTTCAATCCGATCCTTGGTATCGAAAGTTTGAGAAGTTCAAATCACTAATGACAAGAGTGAGTTTTAGCTCAATATCTATATAAAATTATGGCTGACAAGGAAAAGTCAATTGAATGTGGCCAAATCAAATTAGCCATTCGATGCAGAATTTCACGCTGATCATTTTGCTGTTTTTCTTTTTTGCTACGGAGCACTCTGTCAAAAGTTATAGGCGTTTAAAGTTTTGTAAGTTTTGTAGGTTTTGTTTTGAAAAACTGAAGGTTCTGAAAAATCAAACCGCTGAACGTTGAACCAGTTGCAGTTGACCAGTTGCAGCACTGGCCGAGTGGTAGTGGGCCAACCGCAAGGCTAGGGCTGAAGGCCAGCGCTCTCAGGCTCGAGTCCGGTAGCTGATTGTCTTTCGTCTCTTTTTAGGTTTTAATACCTTGTGTGTTCTCTGTGTGTCGCACAATCGCATATCATTTGGCACACCACTAATAGCTCAAGGCTCAAGGCTCAAGGCTCAAGGCTCAAGGCTCAAGGCTCAAGGCTCAAGGCTCAAGGCTCAAGGCTCAAGGCTCAAGGCAACTACCGGACTCGAGCCTGAGAGCTCTGGCCTTCAGCCCTAGCCTTGCGGTTGGCCCACTACCACTCGGCCAGTGCTGCAACTGGTCACCATTTTGCTGCAACAGGTCACCCCGAGGAAGACAATTTTAATGTCGCGCTTCGATTTTTGAAACCCCTTACAAAACTTGAAACCCCGATAACTTTTGACAGAGTGCTCTCTAGCCAAAAAGAAAGCAGCAGAATGATCAGCGTGAGATTCTGCGTCGAATGGCTCATTTGATTTGACCACATTCAGTTGAGTATATTCATTTTCAGTTTCCTCTCCTTGTGAATATGCATTTTCAATAAAATCTGAAATTTTTTCCAGGCAATGGCCCGAACAACGCGTTACCATCTGATTCTTCAAGACATTCAGAAAAATGATCTCAATGACGCTCGAAAAGATCTCAATTACGCGGCGGTTATGGTAGGGTTTTTAAATCTAGTTTAAATCTAGTTTAAATCTAGTTTAAATCTAGTTTGAATCTAGTTTGAATCTAGTTTCAATCTAGTTTGAATCTAGTTTAAATATAGTTTAGTCTAGTTTAAATCTATTTTCTAAATATATTTAGATAAATTTGCATAAGCAATCTGCATAATGACAATTTCCATTTCAGGCAGCCAAGGGTTTCGCGTCTCGGATCGATCAAGCGCTTTGCGTGTCGCAAATGACGAAAACCTGGGAGATTATTAGAGAGTAAGGGAATTTGAATGGTTTTGGATGAGATTTGGATTGATTTGGATTGATTTGGATAGATTTGGATGGATTTGGATGGATTTGGATGGATTTGAATGAAATTTGTATAATTTGATGAGATTTGGATAGATTTGGATGAGATTTGGATGAGATTTGGATGGATTTGTATGATTTGATGAGATTTGGATGAGATTTGGATGAGCTTTGGATGAGATTTGGATGAGATTTGGATGAAATTTGATGGATTTGGATAAGATTTGGATGGATTTGGATGGATTTGGATGAGATTTGGATGAAATTTGATGGATTTGGATGGATTTGGATAGATTTGGATGAGATTTGGATGGATTTGGATGAGATTTGGATGAAATTTGATGGATTTGGATGAGATTTGGATGAGATTTGGATTGATTTGGATGGATTTGGATGAGATTTGGATGAAATTTGATGGATTTGGATAAGATTTGGATGGATTTGGATGGATTTGGATGAGATTTGGATAATTTACATGAAATTTGCATAAAATTTGTATATCTAGCTAATAGAAACCTAAATCTTTAGATAAAATAATGTGTGTTTCTGAAAAATCTTATTTTCAGACGGATTGACTGGACGGCGAGGACGAAAATCGCCACAAACGATGCCACGATGCCGCTAGTCGATTTTTATGTAAGTTTTTTTTCGATACAAAGTCTTAGATATTAAAAGAAATTAGATCTGGGAGGCGGGGCGCCTTTTATACGTGCCCCGCCCCTTTTGCCGGGTATAAAAGGCGCCCCGCCCCTTTGCCATTGAATATCCAACTTTGAACTCAAATATCTCGGTGTTCGGGTGTCCAATTTAAACAGTTTTTGTACCAATCGAAAGAGAAAGACTTGGCGCATCAAATGATACCAAGGACATTTAAATTGGACAACTTAACATCAAGATATTTGAGCTCAAAGTTAGAAAGTTAGATTGTCAAAAAGGAGCGAGGCGCGTATCAAATGTCTCACAATCGGCGCCAAGTGTACTGTAGTCTTAATTACATGCAGTAGCGCTTCCTAAATTTGCATAAATACTTTGCAAATCAAAAATTTTAGATGACCGACCTAAGCTCGGACAAAAGTGAGGGCGAAGGCCGAAAAATCCTCGGAATCGGCCAAGTGACCGTGAAACCGATTGGCTCCGATAAATTCAATGGGGACACAAGTTGTAAGTTAGCTGAATATTTAAAAAAATGTTCTACATTAGTCCACAGTAGTCTACAATAGTCTACAATAGTCTACAGTAGTCTACAATAGTCTACAATAGTCTACAATAGTCTACAATAGTCTACAATAGTCTACAATAGTCTCAAGCCAGTAGCACAAAGTCACAAAGCACAGTCACAAGTCTACAGCAGCCGGCAGTAGACATGTCTACGCCCGGCAGTCACAATAGTCTACAATAGTCTACAATAGTCTACAATAGTCTACAATAGTCTACAATAGTCTACAATAGTCTACAATAGTCTACAATAGTCTACAATAGTCTACAATAGTCTACAATAGTCTACAATAGTCTACAGTAGTCTACAGTAATCTACAGTAATCGTCAATCAATTGTTTCCATAGGTACTTTGATCCTTTTCGACGACATTCTCGTCTTTCTCCAGAAGAGACAACAGAGATACGTCTTCTTTCCACAGGTCGAGTTGAATAAATTCATAGTTTCGATATTGAAATCTTTAGATATAGATCTTGAATTAGTTTTGAAATCTTACGATTCTAGATTTAAATATTCTAGATCTTATTCTAGAACTAGAACTAGTTCTAGATCTAATTCTAGAGCTAAATCTAGAGCTAAATCTAGAGCTAAATCTAAATCTAATTCTAGATCTGATTCTGGATCTAAAACTAGATCTAATTCTAGATCTAGTTCTAGATCTAATTCTAGATCCAAATCTTGATCTAATTCTAGATCTAGTTCTAGATCTAGTTCTAGATCTAATTCTAAATCTAATTCTAGATCTAATCCTAGATCTGATTCTAGATCTAATTCTAAATCTAATTCTAAATCTAAATCTAGAGCTAAATCCAATTCTAGATCCAATTCTAGATCTAATTCTAAATCTAATTCTAGATCTAATTCTAGATCTAGTTCTAGATCTAGTTCTAAATCTAAATCTTTCAGGAACAAGCTGTTTTTGCTGTCGCTACTTTGTATCCAAGAGCGATCGAGCGTGGATGGAGTACTCATTTGATGTCTTCATCATTTAAAGTAAGCTTAAATGTTAGCTATTGTTAGCTAAGTTCGTTAGCTAAGTTAGCTAAGCTAAGCTAAGCTAAGATCTTATATCTAATAGTTAGTTATAGAATAAGGTAGAAAAAGTGTTCAAAAAGACTGACAGAAAATTCGTTTCTTTTCGTATTTCCATCAAATAACAAATTCAGAAATTAATCTTTAGCTTTGAAAGAAAAAATGGTTATAAAAGTTCAATGAAATCTTGAAGATCTCTAGAAGATCTCTAGCAGATCTCTAGCAGATCTCTAGAAGATCTCTAGAAGATCTAGAAGATCTAGAAGATCTCTAGAAGATCTAGAAGATCTAGAAGATCTCTAGCAGATCTCTAGAAGATCTCTAGCAGATCTCTAGCAGATCTCTAGAAGATCTAGAAGATCTAGAAGATCTAGAAGATCTAGAAGATCTCTAGAAGATCTCTAGCAGATCTCTAGCAGATCTCTAGAAGATCTCTAGAAGATCTAGAAGATCTAGAAGATCTCTAGAAGATCCCTAGAAGATCTCTAGAAGATCTAGAAGATCTAGAAGATCTAGAAGATCTAGAAGATCTCTAGCAGATCTCTAGAAGATCTCTAGCAGATACCTAGAAGATCTAGAAGATCTAGAAGATCTCTAGCAGATCTCTAGAAGATCTCTAGCAGATCTCTAGCAGATCTCTAGAAGATCTAGAAGATCTAGAAGATCTAGAAGATCTAGAAGATCTAGAAGATCTCTAGAAGATCTCTAGCAGATACCTAGAAGATCTAGAAGATCTAGAAGATGTCTGCTATTCAATAATGCTTAAATTCAGCCAATGCTGATGGAGTTGCAATTCCGAAACAAATCCGATCGCGCAAAATGGATGGACGTCTTCGAGAAAGGGATTTCTCGTGCCCCAAAACAGGGTAAGGAATGCTCGTGTGTTCCCGATTGTCCCCTTCGACCGAAAACACAAAATTCTCCACAAAGCCAAAGCCCAAAAAGCTCACAAAGCTCACAAAACCCATATAAACTTCTCTCAAAACTCCTGCCACTTCTCCCAAAACCCCAACATTCAACAATTTGCTCTTGTAAAGCAAGACATTTAAAAGCTTATCCAATTACAATCGATTCATTAGTCGTCGATTTTTTCATTCCTTTAGAAGAGGTGCTGGGGGCTAGTGCTGGGTTAAAGAGAAAGAATTGTATTCGTAGAAAATCTGATCACATTCCAACACCGCCCGATATGATGTCACCGATTTTGGTGAGAAGGCCGGCTTCAGAGAAATCCAGGAAAACGGTGGACGAAGAAAAAAGAGAGACGATGTTGACGGGAATTGTGAGGAGAATGAGTGGATTGGGATTTGGAGAGAAAAATGGGAAACAATTGGGAAGTCGAGCAAGAAAAGATGAGGAAAGATTGGTGGAGAGTGAACAGGAGGCCGTACAGGACGGTGTTGTCAGTCATTTGTAGTCTTTTGTAGTCTTTTTAGTCATAGACATGGGCACAAAGATAGACTGCTAACGAAAACAGAAGTCCTTTTTTGTCTTTTTTACTAGTGATTTTGTCTGTCGATATTTTTGCCTTTAGTTTTTTGTCTTTTTCTCAGCGCCAACGCTTTGCTTTTGACTGTTTTAACTATCAATCGATTCAGAATAAAATTCTGCGTCGAATGATACCAAAATCATCTCAAAATATAGTATCCATGCAAAGTTATTGGCTAAAAACCTAAACCCTGTCCATTATGGGTGGGACTTAACATTTTGCCTCATAACTTTGCATGGAAATGACATTTTGAGTTGATTTGTGGTATCATTCGACGCAGAATTTTATTCTGCATTGAATGATAGTCAAAATAGTCAAAATCGAAGGGTTGGTGCTGAGAAAAACCTTAAATTGCCAATGGCAAAAAGACCACAGATGTTTTCGTTACAAGTCTACTACAAATGCTTCTAACTTGCTTTAAATCTACTAGATTGTGATCATCTATAGCTCAAAAGATAGAGAATTTCATGAGCTTTTGAATAAACTAAAGCACACTGAAAAATGTCAATGCTAAAGAAAGTTACAGTGGCTTGTAGTGGAAGTAACCGTACTCACGCGTAGTCAGACTACAAACCACTGTAACTTTCTTTAGGATTGATATTTCTGGGTGTGCTTTAGTTCATTCAGAAGCTCTTGAGCTTCTCTATCTTTTGAGCTATAGATCATATCAATCTGGTAGATTTAAAGCAAGTTAAAAGCGTTTGTCGCGTGACAGTTCGTCATTTTCATAATTTGTGCCCATGTCTTCTTGTCAGAAATCGAGCTCGCGCTTTTGCAAGAGAACAAAATGCATGCAAAAGCTATAGATACCGGAGGACAGCAATAAAGCTATAGTATCCCAGAGTAGTAAAAGAAAAAGCAGACATTCTACTGTAGTTTTCCCGTCAGTCAAAAAAAAACTTTCAAAATTTCTCTTAGGATTCGAATTTTTCCCTTAAAAAAAATGGTGATTTTTGATTTGAATTTTCGTCTTTTTCTTGCACGTTTTGCATGTTTTGTTATTTTCTTTGCCTCGATTCGCTTTTGTTTATCCAAAAACTCGATCATCGTTCATCAAAAATCGCCCAAATGTTCTCCAAAAGTGGAAACGGGTCTACTTTTCCTTTTTTTGGCCAAAATTTGCCTTTTTTTTTGCATGATTTGTACCTTTTTTTCTACACAATTTGTATATAAATATTCTACAGAGAAACAAATTAAAAAATTTTTTGAAAAAACTAATCAGCTTTTGAATTTCATCGTTTTTGACTAACCAAATCTTGGCTAGACTTTGTGTACTTTGTGCTGTAAACGCAAGCTCTCTGGCAAACTTGATTCTTTGTCTTTTTCTTAAATGAAGGATTTAGAGGCTTCAGAGTAAAGGAATCTAGCTTTTGCAAGAAAATGAAGAACCCAGTGCGCTAGAGAGGGTGCGTTTCGAGATTTGAGCACAAAGTAGATTCAAAAGAACTAGGAAAAGCTATTTTTTTGAATTTGATAAGAGAAATAGATTCTAAAACTACAGTAAGTAAAAGATTCGATAATCTGGGCAATAGTGCTCTAGAACTGCTCTAGAACTGCTCTAGAACTGCTCTAGAACTGCTCTAGAAGCTGCTCTAGAATCTGCTCTAGAACTGTTCTAGAACTGCTCTAGAACTGCTCTAGAATCTGCTCTAGAAGCTGCTCTAGAATCTGCTCTAGAACTGCTCTAGAACTGTTCTAGAACTGCTCTAGAACTGCTCTAGAATCTGCTCTAGAAGCTGCTCTAGAATCTGCTCTAGAATCTGCTCTAGAATCTGCTCTAGAACTGCTCTAGAACTGCTCTAGAACTGCTCTAGAATCTGCTCTAGAATCTGCTCTAAATGCGTCTTTGGTATCAAAAAATAGCCCTGAATTTCAGCTATTTTTTGATACCTAAGCGAGCATTGTAGCATAAACCAGTGTCGAGAAAAACTCGTTCAAAGCTAGACTACGCAACGCTCCGCATGATCGTTATGGAGCTGGGGCACTATTACAGTATTTACGGTATATTCTAGTGTACTAACTGGCTGAGATCTTGACTAACATCAATACTGTAATACTAGCATTACTATAAGTAATAAAGAAGTAAAGAAATTGACAAGAAAAAGATTTCTGAAGACGGAATTGAACTTTTACTCGATTTTACTCGATCGTCGACCTTTTACTTTCAAAGCAATTGCTCTGACCACTGAGCTATTCAGTATCTTGCCAAGAAAAGAAAGATAAAGAAAGGAAGAAGGAAGGAAGAAGAAAGGAGTTAGAACTAAAGCAGATCAAAAACTTGGGCGCTGCCGGAACTCGAACCGGCGATCTTTCGCTAAAAATTATACCGCTAACCACCGGGCAGCTAACCATTACACCACAATGCACTCTCTCTGACTCTCTGCAATCTCTCTGACTCAAGAGAGAGTTAACTAAGGAAGAAAGGAAGAATCTAATCTTTAGGATCAGCTTGTAAGCGGAAAAAAACGGAAAATTGAATCCCTTCGTTTTCAAAACAAAATCCAACAGTTGAGACGGCTAAAGAAAGCGTAGCTGTCCATTTGTTGACTTTTTCTTAAAAGATATTCAATTTTCTGCTTTTTTCTGTCTACAAGCCTGTTCGGGATCAATTTTAACTGACATTGATGATTATTTTAAGTGATAAATAACAATTTTAGCAAGATTAACTTGAAAAATCAAAGCTTTACTTCATTTACTTCAAAAAAATCAAAGCTTTACTTCATTTACTTCACCAAAACCAAGCTTTACTCCACTTATTTCACAAAAACCAAGCTTTAATTCACTTATTTCACAAAAATCTAAGCTTTTGTTCACTTACTTCCTAAAAATCAAAGCTTTACTTCATTTACTTCGCAAAAAAACAAAGCTTTTGTTCATTTACTTCACAAAAACCAAGCTTTACTTCATTTCCTTCACAAAAACAAAGCTTTACTTCATTTACTTCACAAAAACCAAGCTTTTGTTCATTTACTTCACAAGAACCAAAGCTTGACTACATTTCCTTCACGAAAATCAAAGCTTTTGTTCACTTACTTCACAAGAACCAAAGCCTTTATCTCACTTTAAACAAATCCAGACAAATTACTTCAAAAATAGCAAAAAACGAGAAACGAGAACAAAAATAAATGAAAAAAGAGAGAAAAGAAATGGACAAACACCGGACAAACATCAAAAACATCAAGAAAATCGTCAAATGCCATCAGAAATTCCATTTTCCCCCCAGTTTCACATCGTTTTCTAATCATCTATCAAAAGGGGAATGGAAATGGAGGAATTATTGAAGAATATCGAATTTGATTCTTCAAATAAAACCCCTCTATCGATTGTGGCTTTGTGGAGTTGTTGAAATGGGCTTTGTGGAGTTGTTGGAATGGGCATATAACCATATAACTTGATCTTTATTGGCAAAATATAACTTGATCAATATAAGTTGGTCAATATAGCTTGACTTTTGTGTACCTTGTACTCTAAAAGTACCCTTTCTGGAATACTAATTTCAGGAATTCAATGCTAGAAAGGGAATTTAAGCTTTTCTTTAAAGTAAGCTTTTCTTTAATTTAAGCCTTTAAGCCTTTGTGCTCTTTTGAGCTATTCCCTAGCAATAATCAGCAAAATAGGTAAAACAGATTTGCGAGAAAGAGTGTGTTTACATTTTGCTTAAAGTACATCACAAAGTACATCACAATCATCACAAAGATCACAAAGTACATCATAAAGTACATCACAAAGATCATCACAAAGTACATCATAAAGTACATCACAAAGATCATCACAAAGTACATCATAAAGTACATCACAAAGATCATCACAAAGTACATCATAAAGTACATCACAAAGATCATCACAAAGATCATCACAAAGATCATCACAAAGATCATCACAAAGATCATCACAAAGATCATCACAAAGATCATCACAAAGATCATCACAAAGATCATCACAAAGATCACAAAGTACATCACAAAGATCATCACAAAGATCATCACAAAGATCACAAAGTACATCACAAAGATCATCACAAAGATCATCACAAAGATCATCACAAAGTACATCACAAAGATCATCACAAAGATCATCACAAAGATCATCACAAAGTACATCACAAAGATCATCACAAAGATCATCACAAAGATCATCACAAAGATCATCACAAAGATCATCACAAAGATCATCACAAAGTACATCACAAAGTACATCACAAAGATCATCACAAAGATCATCACAAAGATCATCACAAAGATCACAAAGTACATCACAAAGATCATCAAATTCAATCATTTTTAGTTCGTTTGCCTCCTCGTCGACCCGATGCACAAACGGCGAAAGAGCGAGAGAAAGAAGAGCGACGACAAAGAGACGCCGAAGAACATTGGGTGCGACGACTTGAGTCACATTTTGGTAAGAATTAGATGAGAGATTTGAAGTCCTAATGAATTTAATTTGATCTACCGGCTAGCCGAAAGTTATCCGAAGATTTTTAGCCAAAAATTTTTAATGAAAAACATTTCTTTAACCAGAAAGAGTCAAATAACCAGTTTTTAACCAGGAAAGAGTCAAATAAAACATATGAGAGCTTTTCTCAGCCATCTTTAAGCGAAAAAACTGAAATTTTTTAAAAAGTCTTAAAGTATAATATAGTTGTGTCATTTAATGTAAAAACTCAAAAGAATCAAAACTGATTGACCCTAGGGGGATCGAACCCGGGTCGTGTGGCTTGTAGACCGGTGCGCTCCCCACTGCACCACGCCGAGCCCAAACGCTAGCCAGAAAAACCCACTCTTAAGTTTTTCATCAAAAGAAATCAGAACAATCACTTCAAAAAACCACACCACTTGATGACAAAAAGCTTTTTATGTTGGCCCATTTTTAAGCGGGCGTGGTCGAGGCGGTTAGCGTCCCGTCTACAAATCGATTCCCCTAAGCGACTGTCGGGTTCGATTCCCCTCCGGCCAAATTTTTTTTGCTTTTAAGCATGGAGTTGATGTATTGGAGTATCAGGCATAGAGTTGAAGTTGAGTTGCTTTGCAGCAAACTTATAGCTACAGGGGTCTCGGAGGAGCGCGAGGCACGACGTTAGTCGCGTCAAGTGTTCCGGTATAGATGTTGGTGTTGCTTCGGAGGATATCAGGGTCACGATATTGCTTTGAAGCTTTGATTTACTTAGAGATAGATCCCAATATTGTTACAAGAGTCTCGAAAAGGCGGCGGGAGGGGAAATCCTTTAACTCGAAAGGCTCCAAACCTCCAAACCTCCAAACCAGAAAGCTCCAAACGCAGAAAAACCAGTTAGGCCTAACGCCTAACTGGTTTTTCTGCGTTTGGCGACTTTTTTAGCTGTTTTAGTGATAAAGTTGAAGAAAAATTGATGTACTTTCATTATTCTGATAGCTGATAATCTGATATCACTTTCTAAACTTGCAGAAGAGCGCAGAGATTCGGAAGGAGTGGTGGCTGAGTACTTGGATCGACGGATGCAATGGTTCGACCGTTTACGATCAATCGTCAGTGAGATGCCCTTCAAGAGTCGACAGGAGATCCCAGAAAAGGTAAACTTCAGAAATATTAAGTACTTTTTAAGTTTAATGGAAAACAGCACAAGGAACTTTGTACATTTGTTGTGCAATTGTTGTACAACGCCGTGCAGTGCTCATTTTCATTACTTGAAATCTTTAGCAAGACAAAATGTAGACAAACAGCAAGCTACAGCAAGCTACAGCAAGCTACAGCAAGCTACAGCAAGCTACAGCAAGCTACAGCAAGCTACAGCAAGCTACAGCAAGCTACAGCAAGCTACAGCAAGCTACAGCAAGCTACAGCAAGCTACAGCAAGCTACAGCAAGCTACAGCAAGCTACAGCAAGCTACAGCAAGCTACAGCAAGCTACAGCAAGCTACAGCAAGCTACAGCAAGCTACAGCAAGCTACAGCAAGCTACAATGATTCAAATTTCAAATTTAAGGTGAAAGCCACGGTTCGACAGCGTTTCCGCGAGCTCCGTCAACTCCGAGTCGAACCGATTAGCAAATGTGAGTCAATCTTAAACAAGAATCTAAAATTATACCGTCAAATCTATTATCTACAATTGAAGAACTCATATCTACAAGCTACAGTCCGCTACAGTCCGCTACAGTCCGCTACAATAAGCTTACTGTAGCTTATTGTAGCTTGCTTTAGCTTACTGTAGCTACAATCTAATATTTTAAATCCAATGAGCATCGAGCATGATCAAAGCATACAAAGCCAGTAATCAACATTTAACGATAAAAGATTTTGCAAATGATTTCATTCGGTTCAACCAAATAAAGCCGTTCGTCTGTCCAAATAAATAAAGCCGTTCGTCTGTCCGTTTGTAAATAAATGTAAATAATAAAACGGGCGTTTATAAATCATTTTTACTTTTCTAGTGGTCGCCAAATGCACTCAAGCGCGCGACCAGGATCTTATCGATTTTTTCGACGACACTGCCGAGGTTTGATTCAGCTTTTAAAAGTGTTCAAAACATTTGAAATTTGCTTGAAACAAAAATGAAACAATTTTTTCAAATCTTTATTGAAAATCTAAAGTAAATTATCTATTTTTGATCTAAAAAAAAACGATTTTTCATCTAAAAAACGATTATTGATCTTAAAAAAACGATTTTTGATCTAAAAAAACGATTTTTGATCTAGAAAACGACCTTTTCTCGATCAAGAAAACCCTTTAGATTGTCTACGCGCGCTTGAAGACAGAAAACGATGTAAAAATGACAATTTTCGAGGGTGTCTTTGAGAAAAAACTTTGCATCAAATTCATAGAATATAAAATCAAAAAAAGAATTAGCATAAACTTTTAAACATATTCATTTATCTATTTTTCAAAAAAAAAAAAAAGAAAAACCTGTTTCAAAGACACCCAAATGCCCTTCCCTTTCAATTTTCTGGGGTAGGCTAGTTTCCGCAACAGGACCATTTGCGAAACTGGATCGTTTACGCAACTCGCCATAACTTTCTTCTAAGTTGACCAATCTTTATGATTTTGGTGTCATTTTGTAGATCTCAACAAATGCAACAAAATGACACCAAAATCATAAAGATTGGCCGACTTAGAAAAAAGTTATGGTACAGCCAAAGCTCATTTGCGCAACTCGCCATAACTTTCTTCTAAGCTGGCCAATCTTTATGCTTTTGGTGTCATTTTGTAGATCTCAACAAATGCAACAAAATGACACCAAAACCAAGACTTTGAATCAAGCCAAAACTGTCAAGTCAGGCAAGTCAACTATGCCCGTACTTTGTGCTTTGGCTGTACCATAACTTTTTTCTAAGTCGGCCAATCTTTATGCTTTTGGTGTCATTCTGTTGCGCTTATTGAGATCTACAAAATGACACCAAAAGCACAAAGATTAGCCCATTTAGAAGAAAGTTATGGCGAGTTGCGCAAATGGTTCTGTTGCGGAAACTAGCCTACCCGAATTTCCTCATTTCCTGTGACCTCTTCTAAAATTTATTTCTCAAAAACAGCTTTTTCAACGATTTTCTGTTGTGGCTGCACCAAAAACAAAGCTTCTGATTTGAGATTTATTTTAGTTTTAGTATTTTAAAGTTTAGATTCAAAATCTGGACTCTGATTCGGGCTCGGATACGTCGGGAAGTGAAGGGAAAAATTTGCCACGACGCGTTCAGACTTTTCACGGGATGAGTACACCGAAAAGAGAAAGTTTGTAATATATAAATAATATATAAATAATATATAAATAATATATAAATAATATATAAATAATATATAAATAATATATAAATAATATAGAAATAATATAGAAATAATATATAAATAATATATTATATTCATACTTTATTCAGGACATGAAATAAAGCGTAATCAGTCAGACAATACACAAATCTACACATAAATACATAGAGAAAGATGAGATATTTTCCTCGGCGATGTGGAGGCGGGGAGAAAAGAAGATAGGCTTCTTGCTTTAATAACCTCAGACCATGAATGGGTCAACCCAGTGGAAGAGTGAACTCCGCTAGAGAAGGGATCTCTAGTCAGCTCTAGAGAAGAGACCTCTAGTCTGGGCGCACGGGCTAGGGAAGAGAACCCTAGGGGGGCCGAGCCCCACACCCTCAGTTTGGAAGTGAGAACTTAACCAATACACCATGAGGGCCACTAATATATAAATAATATATAAATAATATATTAGGTTGATGCATAAGTCTTTTCGTTCCTTTTCGTCTGCCGTTTCAAGCCAACAAATGCACCAATTAAACTACGGTTGATTTCATTAGAAAAACCAATTATTTTTCTGCAAAATAACATTAAAACGGGTTTAAAAATATTTTAATGCCTGGATTTTCTTGAGAGTATGAAGTCGGGTAGTCAAAAAGGGCTAACTCGATGATGCGGTTTAGACACCTTAGCTAAAGAAAACCTATCTTCGTGTCAATAGATAAAAGATAGAGAAAAAAAACGTTTGATATTTTAATAATAATAATAATACTTTATTCAAACGATAAAGTGAAAGAAATCATAGAGAAATGCACAGTGATACTTAATCATACAATACATACTGAAATCAATAAGCCAATTACTTACGGCAAAGAGCCACTAGATCTAAAGCATCGATACGTTTCTTGAATATGAAAAGCGACTGAATTTCTCGTATGTCGTTTGGGAGCAAGTTCCATAATCTAGCGGCTCTAACGGGAAATGAATTTGATAAAGAGGCATTGGAAGCAAAGGGAATTTGCAAAAGGAATGAGCCACTTCTGGGCCCTGACCGCGGTTTAAATTTGAAAAAGTTTCGCCAAAATTTCAGAGAAATTCATTCAGCCAATTTTTCCGTAGAGTTTTTTATAGATTTTTACGAAAAAGGCGTTTTTCACTCTCGAATTTGCTTGAAAGTGAACCGAAATTCATTTAAAAAGATGCAAATTGAACAAAAAAACGCTTTTTTTATAGAGCAAACTATAGATTAATTGGTGAATTTGTTACTTTTTAACAGAAGTACAAAAAAAACGAAAAGACTTATGCATCAACCTATTAGAAATAATATATAAATAATATAGAAATAATATAAATAATATATAAATAATATATAAATAATATAGAAATAATATAGAAATAATATAGAAATAATATAAACAATAATAATAAAGAAATATAGGGTTTTCCAAAAAAAAAAGTTAGTTTAGCTCGACTTTTCTCAGGATTTCCAGTGGTTCTTGGAGGTTTTTGTGGTGAATATTTTGAGCGGGCAAATTTTTGATACTTTTTCACCTTTTCCCGATTTCCTGCTCTAGAACCTGCTCTAGAACTGCTCTATAATCTGCTCTTCTTATAAATGAAATTTTTAAGTGTTGATTATGCATCACGATGTATTAGTACGATGTTTAGTACAAGGTTTTATGGCAAGATTTTATGGCAAAGAGTCTCATGGTGCTGGTGATGATTGTGGCTTAGAAATTTCATGTATTGAGGAGTCATGAAATCAGGAAAAAGTATCAAAAGCTTGCATGCCTAAAATATTCACTTTATTGAAGAGACTTGTTTACGTAGACTTGTTTATTGAAGAGTTTAAAACTCGATTCTAATAGTAAACGCAAAAAGGAATTTTATTTTTGATTAGTTAATAGCATTTTTGATTAGTTATCAACATTTTTGATTAGTTAATAACATTTCTCATCTAGTTTTTTTTTCTAAATGATCTAAAAAAGTGAATCTTTTTAGGCAAAGTAAAATTCGAAAGCCGAAGAATGAGAAGCAAGTTTAAAGCCTTGAAAAAAGCTGAAAAAAAGCGATTCTTTTACTTCTAAAGCTGATTCTTTTAAACAATAACTGTCTAAATAATTTTAAAAATTATTTCTAAATAAATTCTGCTTTAGAAGGATCATTCCGTCGTCATACAACTGTTCCAAAAATGTCTTCAATGATTCACGGAGCATCGACTTCATCAACATCTAAATTGGAAACGGCAACGCTGAGAATGGAAGAAGAAGATGAAGAAATTGAGGAGAAAAATGATGAGGAAGAAGTGACTAGTGACGAGGAACAGAATAAAGAGGTCAGCATTGGGAATTGGACTTTGGTTTGGTGGTACAATTTGGTACAATTGGTGGTACAATCTGGTACAATTGGTGATACAACCTAGTACAATTGGTGGTACAATCTGGTACAATTGGTAGTAAAATCTGGTACAATTGGTCGTACAATCTGGGCCAATTGGTGATACAATCTGGTACAATTGGTGGTACAATCTGGTACAATTGGTGGTACAATTGCTGGTACAATCTGGTACAATTGGTGGTACAATCTGGTACAATCTGTACAATTGGTGGTACAATCTGGTACAATTGCTAGTAAAATCTGGTACAATCTGGGCCAATTGGTGATACAATCTGGTACAATTGGTGGTACAATCTGGTACAATTGGTGGTACAATCTGGTACAATCTGGTCCAATTGGTGGTACAATTTGGTCCAATTGGTGATACAATCTAGTACAATTAGTGGTACAATCTGGTACAATTGGTGGTACAATCTGTAAACGTGTAAACGCACCCTTTCTGGCACATTGAAGTCTCGAGTTTTCTTTTGATTTCATCACAAGAAAATTTGACGTAATTCAGTGTGATAGAAATCAGAAAAAAGGAAATATCCCGTTTCTACAATCCCAAAATCTGTGAGTACAAAGTATTGTACTTTACGTACTAATTACTGTATTTTTTAATCTTCCTAGTGTCGTAAATCTTCAACTAGATCTACATTAATCAAAAAAATAGCTTATCTAACTATTGATCAGTAAAATTAGATATATTTTAACTTTCAGGGCATTCCTGAAAGTCCGAAAACGCGCGAGAGAAATCGGGAGATTGTTCAGAAGACTCAACGATTGCCGGTAGGTCACTGATAATAGTGTACTACTGTACTTAGTAATATAAAAAACAGTATCCGGATTAGAAAGCGTTCCCAACAAGCGAATGATTCAAACTAGGACCAAGGTTTCCGGAAAAACTCGGAGTGAAAACACTAGTCGGAGATAGGCGCTCTAAATATCTATTCAGCTTTTTCTCAAGTTAAAATCCTGCAGAGAAATGCATTTGAAGTTCCGACTATTTCGAAAAATCGATTTTGTCTGGTATTTGTCCGTTTTTCAAAAAAAGCTAAGAATTGTCGATGTCGGTAGCGGGACTCGAACCCATACCAAGCCGCCGGACCAGTTTTCTAGCCGAGCTCACTAACCTCTAAGCCACCACCGTTCATTTCCCGTTCGTTTGTGGCACGCTCTTATTGATTTGGGAGCGATTTTTGTTCTGCAATCCGGCATTTTTCTTCAAACTTCAAATGCATTTTACTTGCCAGGATTTTAATTTGGCCAAAAACTGAATAGACATTTGGAATGCCCATAAATTTGCATTTAAAGAAAGTTGCGTATAAACAAATTTATATAACTACCTTTTTGAAGCTTCTTCAAGCTTTCTTAAGCTTTTTGGAGCCTTTTGAAGCCTTTTCGAAGCTTTCTGAAGCTTTTTTGGAACTTTTTGGAGCTTTTTGGAACTTTTTGAAGTCTTTTGGAAGCTTTTGGAAGTTTTTAGAAACTTTTGGAAGCTTTTAGAAGCCTTTCTAAAGTCTTTTTGAAACGCACATTTTAGAAAGCGCATTAATCACATCTGAATACCGTAATCCTGATTTCCAGTTAACGATGAACCTCCGCGCGAGACGAGCCGCCACACAAATCATCAAGGAAAACGCCGAGCTCAGACAAATAAACGATCGGCTAAAGCACGATTTAGCAATGTGAGTTAGGAAATTCAGATATTACAGATATTCAGATATAAATATTGGGTTGGGGACTATGACTCGGCGCCGAAAATCAAAAAAATTTCTGAAACTTCTAGCAGACTTCGTCAAATGATACGTGTTTGATATCAGTAGAAAAGTGAACTAATTCTCTACAAAATGACATTTAAAAGAAAACTCAAACAGCGCCTCAGCTCAAGAAAAGGCCATTTTTTCACAAAAACTACAAAGTGTCATCTAGAAAAAACGGTTGAAGGGATCTTCCTGCAAATTTGGCAACTTATGTAATTGAATGTGCTCTATCTTTTTTACACAGACACCAAAGAAGGTTTATGTGCAAGAAACTGTTCAAACGATGAGTCGGACTCTTTGCCATTTTGATTAGCTATGTTTGGGAGTTCATAAAATCCACGAAAGAAAAGCTTTGTGGAATCTCTCAAAAGTCATTTTGTAGAGAAATAGTGGATCCTTTTGATGAAAGAAAACGTATATTTAAAGAAGGCTTTATGCGTGCAAAAAGTGTCTTTAAAGTTTGGCGCCGAGTCATAGTCCCCAACCCAATATATTAAAATATATTAAATAAGATTTTAAATAAGATAATAGCTAAGATAGCTAATTCTAAGATAGCTATTAGCTAAGATCGCTAATAGCTAATTCTTTCTAAAAGCTTATTTAGTATTCTTTTTCTTTACTTTTCAACTTTCTAGGAGTAGAACAGCGCTGTCATTGTACGAGAAATCGCGAGTGGCGCCGTTGGGAGCAAACGGAACCGGTTCATCAGTTTCATCTTCAGAAACGCATGAGGTTTATTTTATATTAAAAAAGATATAAATTAAAAAACGAATTAAAATTTACCGTAAATACTGTAATAGTACCCCACCCCCATAATGACGGTGCGGAGCGTTGCGTAGTCTAGCATTGGACGCGTTTTTCTCGGCACTGGTTTATGCTACAATGCGCGTTTTGGTATCAAAAAATAGCCCTGAATTTCAGCTATTTTTTGATACTTAAGCCAGTATTGTAGCATAAACCAGTGTCGAGAAAAACGCGTTCAAAGCTAGACTACGCAACGCTCCGCTTTGAACGCGTTTTTCGCGACACTGGTTTATGCTACAATGCGCGTTTAGGTATCAAAAAATAGCCCTGAATTTCAGCTATTTTTTGATACCAAAGACGCATTTTTGGAAGTACGGGCGCTTTGAAAAACAATGAAATACTAAATACTAAAAAACTTTCGCGACTACGCGACTGTACGAGGGCGGTGGGGTACTATTACAGTATTTACGGTATGTATTTAAGAGTTTAACGGAAGAATATTGTTAGCTTTTGTTAAAGAACTCAAAGGGTGCTTAGTAGAAGTAGTTTTGAGTAGAATTTAAGCAATAAGCAAGCAAATTTCGATTCTTAGATGTTAGAAAAGAGTATAGAGCAGCAGATTGAGATTCTAGAGCAGATTCTAGAGCAGTTCTAGAGCAGTTCTAGAGCAGTTCTAGAGCTCTATTGCCCAGATTATCGAATCTTTTGGTTACTGTAGTATTTACGGTAATTTAAACTTTAAAACTTCAATATTTTATATGAAATTTAATTATTATAAATGTTTCTTATAGATAACTTTTAATTCTAGGCACTTCGTCGGAAAGAACAAGAGCTGAGAGAAGGAGAGACACGGTTGAATCAAGATCGAGACGATTTTCTAGACAAAAAAACGCAATTAGAGGTATTATTGGTATTATTATAGATATAGTTTATAATTCTATTCTAGAATCTTTTAATTTAACTAGTTAACTACAAATTTAACTAGTTTAACTTTCATTTAACTAGTTTAACGTTAATTTAACGAGTTAACTACAAATTTAACTAGTTAACTAAGAATTTAACTAGTTAGCTAAGTATTTAACTAGTTAACTAAGAATCTAACTAGTTAACTACGAAGTTAGCTAAGAATTTAGCTAGTTAACTAAGAATTTAACTAGTTAACTAAGAATCTAACTAGTTAACTAAGAATCTAACTAGTTAACTAAGAATTTAACTAGTTAACTAAGAATCTAACTAGTTAACTAAGAATCTAACTAGTTAACTACGAATTTAACTAGTTAACCAAGAATTACAACTAGTTAACTAAGAATTTAACTAGTTTAACTTTCATTTAAAGCTACCCAGCACCTTGAGCAAGCTGATCAGCTTCTAGAATATGTAAAGTCTGACAAACTATCGAATCTTAATCCCAGTTTTTATCTAATTTCTATATTTTATTATTTCCTACTATTAGTGGATTCTTTTACATAAAATTGTCAAAAAATTACAATTTTACAGTCCAGTTTCAGTCCAACAAACTGTCCGGACAAAAATCTACTTCCATTTTAAGCTCCTTTCTCTGCTTTTCTCTTCTCTTTTTCTGCTCAATACATTTAAATAATGAAATGTTATAAATTTAGGATAAACTGAAGAAACAGGAGACGGAACTCGAGGAAAGATGGAGAGTTTTGATGGAAAAAGAGACGCTCATTGGGGGAAATCTCGCGAATTTGAGAGAAGATCGCCGAACAGCTCCGCCAGCTATGGTACTCTATCCTTTGAAAATGGGCATAAACACTAGAAACGCTTCTAACTTGCTTTAAATCTACTGGATTGTGATGATCTATAGCTCAAAACATAGAGAATCTCAAGAGCTTTCGAATGAACTAAAGCACACTCAAAAACTATCCACTAAACGCTTTATACTATACATTTTATGCTATACACTTTATACTATACACTTCATCCTTTATACTCTAAGTGTAAACTTAACTACAGTAACTTCTACTTATCCCATTTCCAGGCTCGTCCAATCCCGATTCCCGTTCTTGGCAACCGTACCGAAAGCATTCCGATTGTGTAAGTTCTTCTAAAACAAGCTTTAAAGCTTCTAAAGTAAGCTTTAAAGCTTCTAAAGCTTCTAAAGCAAGCTTTAAAGCTTCTAAAGGTTCTAAAGCAAGTTTTAAAGCTTCTAAAGCTTTAAGAAATAGTTTAAAAACTGTTAATAGATTTAAAACTGTTAATAGGTATCTTATCTAATACCTCTGATACTTATCTGATACTTAAAACTATCTGATACTTACTATATGAAAGCTATTTCTAGAAGTGAATCTCTTAGTTGAAAGATCGATATCAAAAGTGAGTTTCGGGCAATAACTCTCTCTAATGCTTTGTTTTATATTTCATTTGCTTTTTAATTTTAAACTCTAATGCTTCTTTAAAAAGAATTTAGGTATTGTTCGCTTTGTTTGAAGTAGTTTGAAGAAAGTTTGAAGAAACTCTTTTCACTTGCGTTTTTCTTAAAAACTATTGTAATCCAAGAAAGCCGTAATCCAAGAAAACCGTAATTGGTGATTGGTGATCAGAGATTTATCAACTCCAAAATCCAGATCGTTCAACAAAAAAATCTAGCGCTCAATTCTTGGACTCAAAGTTCTCCCTATTGAACTCCCACGTTCCCAAACTACATTCAAAATCTATTTTCAACTTTAAGTCCAAGAATTGAGCGCTAGATTTTTTTGTTGAACGATCTGGATTTTGGAGTTGATAAATCTCTGATCACCAATCTCCAATTCAGCCCAATTCAGCCCAATTCAGCCTAAGCCCAATTTTGGTTTCATTTAATGAGAAAATCACAAAATTTAGTCCAAAATTACTAAAAATTGATTTATTGAATGTAAACTAGCAATTGGATTACGGTAGTTTTCTAAAATTGGTGTATTTTAGAAAAGAAATTAACGTAAAAACTCTTATAGGACAGAAGCGTCGAGTAGTCTAAGTTTGCACTCAAACAAACGCTCATATCTTAGCAACAATACGTTTGTTTTTATGCGTTTAGGTATCAAATTAAAGTAGAGAGAATGGGTGATATTTTGAGATATAACACATATCATTAGCATTAACCAGTGCCTAGAACAAAATGATTGAAAAGTGGCAAAAAGAGCCGATTTTTCCTAAAACTTCAATTCAACATCTCAAACAAACACTCATATCTTGACACCAGTACGTTTGTTTTTATGCGTTTAGATATCAAATTAAAGTAGAGAAAAAGGGTGCTATTTTGAGCTATAACACAAATTTTTTAGCATTAACCAGTGCGTAGAAAAAATGATTGAAAATCGGCAAAAGAGCCGATTTTTCATCATTTTCAATCACGTTTTTCTAAGTGCTGGTTAATGCTAAAAATATGTGTTATAGCTCAGAAAATTCCCCTATCTTTCTACTTTAATTTGATATCTAAACGCCTAAAAACAAACGTACTGGCGTCAAGATATGAGCGTTTGTTTGAGAGTATACTTAGACTACTCGACGCTCGATCAGAGCTTCTAGTAGAGTTTTTACGGTAGACAAAAAGCACTTTAAATTGCATAATAAAACTTGAAAATATTCAAATTTCAGTCCAACCTTGTCACCAGCGCTGATGTCTTTAGCTGAAACAAAAACAAAGAAGAAAAAATAAAGAAAATTCAAATTTTTCTCATTTTCTTTAATCACTTTTGTCTATTTCTCAATAGATTCCGGTGTCCATAACGATTTTTTAATTTTTTCTGCAAAAAAACTTATATATGTTGTATCCGATTTAGATTCAATCTAAATCTTATATAGATTGAACAATAATATAAACATGCTTAATATATGCTGTTCTTAAGCATTTTCTGTAGTTTTCTGCATTTTTCAAAGGTCTGTTACTGTATTTTTCTGAAAAGAAAACCCAACTATGAAAAAACTTAACACAAAAAAGGAGACAAATTATTTTTTGCTGCTATTGGTTGGTCGGTGGTTGATTTCTTTGGTCTTGAAATGCTGGCCTGAATTCTTTAAAGGCGAAAATTGAAAACGCTTAAGAACATATATTAAGCACGTTTATTATTGTTCGATCTGTATCGGACGTCCGATATAGACTGTAATCAATAAAAGACCTTTGAAAAATGCAGAAAACTACAGAAAACGCTTAAGAACATATATTAAGCATGTTTATATTATTGTTCAATCTATATAAGATTTAGATTGAATCTAATCGGACGTCAGATATAGACTGTAATCTAAATCGAACGTCGGCGATAAGTTCAATCTAAATCGGACGGAAATCTAAATCGGACACAACATATATACTCTAAAATGTTTTGATTTCTGTTTTTTTGTAAGCAATTGTTGCTTTCTCTCTGCTCTGTCCCCCAATTTCACCATTTTAGTCAGCTCAACAATTTTGTGTGCTTTTAAAGAAGAGATTTCTAAACCACTTTGCCATTTTTTTTAAAACCGCTAGCTTTATAGATTCTAGTTTTCTAGTTTCCTATTCGTTTTCTTATAAAATCAAAGCGTATTGGTAAAACACTGGCCCACAAATCCCTGGTTCGATCCCGCGCTCTGCTCTTCCTTTTTCTTTGCCTTTTCCCCCCTAAAACATTCCTTTACTTCTTGCTTTCAACAAAATTGCTCACATGGATCAAAAAAAAATGATGTTCTCTTTGCGATTACTTAGTTGTGTGATAAGAACTTTGAGAACTTTTTTTACAAAACTTCTGGGTACTCTCCTCTACTTTCCCCCAAAATAATTGATTTTCTCCCATTTTCTCCATTTCTGCAATGTTTTTTTTTTGTTTTTGTGATGCTTGTTTGTACACTCCTGTGACTCAGATTTGGTAAATTTTGCGCAAATTTCCCTTTGATTCATTTGAATAAAGTTTTTAAAAGAAAAGCTTGAAAAAAAGAATAATAAAACAAAAGAAAAGGCGTTTGAAAAAAGCGCTGCGAGAGAGGTGCGAAATAACATCAACAAAAAGATCAGAATAAGTTCAATTTTACTTAAGATACATTAGTACAAATATCTATTAATACAAACAAACGAAATACTTAATAATTCTAAAAGCAATACATGCTGAACTTAAGAATAGATCTTGCATGCTGGTCCTTCTGGCGTACGAATTGTCACCTTTCTTCATAGATGTTTCAATTGAATCATCGGCACTTTATGAACGATTATTCTAGATATCTAGATTAATTAAAACATATCTAGATTAAGAAAATTGCCATCGGTACATCCCTCCATACGGATGTCCATCATCGATTCGTTAACAACTTCTTGCAACAACAAGATCTTGCACGCTGGTCCTTCTGGCGTACGAATTGTCGCTTTTCTTCATAGATGTTTCAATTGAATCATCGGCATTTTATGAACGACTTCGTGCTAAAAGAGCAAAAACGTATATAATAAACGCAAAAACTCCCCATGAAGGCATGAACGCACTAGTTGCCCCATTTTGTTTCACTTTCTTTGTTACCATATTTTCTCCACTAGTAGTGCACCCTGAGCGTCGCCTAAATTGATCGAAATCTCGAGAACCGCTTATCAGAACCTATCGATGTGGGGTCGGAAAATGTAGCTGACGATGAGATCTTGTGGGGGATTAAAGTGTTGAGCTTCTGGGAAAGCTTAGAAACTGTAAAATAGTCACCAACTCGGCTCGCTGGCGTGCACTACTATTAGAGAAAATACGGTAATCATCGAATCAAATAAGGTAATCAAAATCATCGAAATCTTGCCAAGAATCGTAGAAATGGTCGATTGTGGAAGCCGAAAATGCTTTGCCAATTCATTTGATTCTTTTGAAGTCGAGTGTTCGATTTCCTTCTCCAGATTCAAATCGATTCTCTTTTCCTTCTCTTTTTTTGTTCGTTCCATTACCTGAATTAGATTAATATTAATATAATAGCACAAATAGCAGAAAGTAAAGAAGGTTAAAAATATTAAAGAAAGAAAAAAAGAAAATTAAAATCTCATTATTTCAAAAGCCCCTAATAAATCGAAGTGGAAAAACAAGAAATTCAGAAATTCAGAAAAATAAACAGCTCTTCTTTTTCCTCAGTTGAACTTGGGACGTAAAAAGGATTATTGAGAAAGTAAAGAAGGGAAAATTTGGGGCAGAGGGAGAGCTTAACTGCCTCTCTTTGCTCCCCTTCCTTCAACAAATGAACTTTCCAAACAGTTGCAACTGTTAACTTTTTCAACAAACTTACTCATCAAATTTTGGAAAACTTTGACGTTCTGAGTTCAAGAATTTCGAAAATCTTTGAAATTTTTGCTTTTATGATCAAAACAATCAATCAAATTCTTTAGTTGAAGCCAACGTTTATTCAGTTTTGATACTGAAAATTTATATTGCTATTATACTTTATACTTTATAAACTTTATATTGTTAATAAGATTTAACATTAGCTTTAACTAGCTGGCTTTCACCCTAGCTTTAACTAGCTGGCTTTCACCTTTGCTTCACTGAGCCTGAGCCTCCTGAAACTTAATTAGCCCATGTAAACGGAATATTAAAAAAGCGCCATAATAGAAAACGTTCAAAGCAGCGCCATAATAGAAATCGTTCAAAGCAGCGCCGTGAAATTTCTAACATCTCAAAAACCAAGCCGGTTCAAGTCTTATACCAAAAAAATTCTGATTCAATTCGGATCTGATCTGATTGAATTCGGATCTGATCTGATTCAATTCGGACCTCTGATCTGATTCAATTCGGATCTGATCTGATTCAATTCGGATCTGATCTGATTCAATTTAGATCTGATCTCATCTGACTCAATTCGGTCCTCTGATCTGATTCAATTTAGGTCTGGTCTGATTGAATTCGGTTCTGATCTGCCTGAATTCGGATCTGATCTGACTCAATTCGGATCTGATCTGCCTGAATCTGGATCTAATCTGACTCAATTTAGATCTGGTCTGATTGAATCCCAGCGGCTAGAAAATTTCGCTCTTTTTCCCATTTGCATGGGTTTTTCTCTGCAACATCTTTAGGGATTGTGCGTTGAGTTGTGGATTTATTTGTGTTTCACATTATTCATGTTGAAAATTCACATCATTCATGTTGAAAATTCACATTATTCATGCTGAATAAATGTATATCCAAGTCCAAGTCCAGTTTTATATCCAAGTCGAGATTATCCCATACACGTTGAATCGCGTATTTGACAGGGGTAGAATGCCTCGTATTATTCTTAACTTTATCGTGAATTTGTTAAGATCTAGTCATCTTGGATCGTTAAGATCTAAGATGCCATCCATTTGCCAACCTGCATTTCTTCAAATTTCCCTTTTATCATTTTCAAATGAAAATCTTGACTTTAGTTTCACTCCTTGGGTCCCCCGGCAAAAATTTGAAGGAGGTACTTGAAGAACTGAAGAAAAATGTCCGACTACATCACCGCTTCGATGCTTCCGCAAATTTTTCGCAAACTTTTTGATGAACAACTTGATATGCAAGTTTACCTAATGAAAGTTTAGAGATTAAATTAGTTTAGAGATTACATTAAAATTTAGAGATTAAATTAAAATTTAGAGATTAAATTAAAGTTTAGAGATTTTTAAGAGGCTTAGCAAACAAAGAGATTTGAATTTTGTGCAAAACAGATTTGGATTTTGTGCAAAATAGGCTACAAAATTTCATGCAAAGTCTAGACAAGGTTCCAAGACGAGGTTCCAATACGGTTCCTATTTTGATCTAATACGGTTCCAATACGGTTCCAATACGGTTCCAATACGATTCCAATACGGTTCCAATACGGTTTCAATACGGTTCCTGTTCTGATCTAATACGGTTCCAATACGGTTTCAATACGGTTCCAATACGGTTCCAATACGGTTCCTATTTTGATCTAATACGGTTCCAATACGGTTCCAATACGGTTTCAATACGGTTCCAATACGGTTCCTATTCTGATCGAATACGGTTCCAATACGGTTCCAATACGGTTCCAATACGGTTCCAATACGATTCCAATACGGTTCCAATACGGTTCCTGTTCTGATCTAATACGGTTCCAATACGGTTCCAATACGGTTCCAATACGGTTCCAATACGATTCCAATACGGTTCCAATACGGCTCCTGTTCTGATCTAATACGGTTCCAATACGGTTCCAATACGGTTCCAATACGGTTCCAATACGGTTCCAGTTCGGTTCCAATACGGTTCCATATTTTAATTTTAATTTTATGCAAATTTTTATAAGATAATGAGATAAGACTTGTTTTTTTATTGTATTCACATAAATTCTCTTGGAAAAGAGACTCTCGAGATGGGATTTAGGTCATCATTTCCCTTTTCATCCACTCCGATTTCCATTCTCATTTCTTTCTCACTTTCTCTTCACATTACATCAATTCTTAATGTGATTTATGCTTCTGAGATTGATTGATATTGTTTAATAGGTTTATTAGCGCTTTTTCGCTCGTTTACACAGTCGGTTCAGTGGTGGTGCTTGGCACAGTGGTTCAGTGGTAGAGCGCGCGCGCTTAGCAGCTAAATCATCGTCGGTTCGATCCCTGGCCATGAGAACTTTTTGCCAAAAGCATAAACCTTTAGTATACCGTAAATACTGTAATAGTACCCCACCCCCCTCGTACAGTCGCGTAGTCGCAAAAGTTTTTTAGTATTTCATTGTTTTTCAAAGCGCCCGTACTTCCAAAAAATGCGTCTTTGGTATCAAAAAATAGCCCTGAATTTCAGCTATTTTTTGATACCTAAGCGCCCCTTGTAGCATAAACCAGTGTCGAGAAAAACGCGTTCAAAGCTAGACTACGCAACGCTCCGCACCGTCATTATGGGGGTGGGGTACTATTACAGTATTTACGGTAACTATGGTCTAGTCTTTCTGCTTAGTTTAAAGATTTCTTTTAAAGCCGAACTTCAATCATTCCCCTTTAGCCAAGGGGAATGATTGAAGTTCCCTTAAACAATTTGAATATCACTCCCCGAAAATCTCCAAACGCTTCCAAAAAAACGCTTCCAAATAGAATTGTCACTCTTTTTCCCATCCTCTCCTCATCCCTATCAATAGCAGCAATCTTCACATTCTTCCTTCTTCCCTTCTTTCCCTTCTTTCCTTCTTTCCTTCTTCCTTTCTTTCCTTCTTCCTTTCTTTCCTTCTTTCCTTCTTTCCTTCTTTCCTTCTTTCCCTTGGAATCTTTTTCTTGTTTTGCTCATGTTTTTCCAAACTTCTTCAATGATTTCACCATCTTGTTATCCAGTTTTTGGTTTAGCTGCTTTTTGCTCAAATTTGTAAACACAGAACGCAATTCTTCAAGAAAACGAGGAATCCATTGCGCCAGAAAGAACGCGTTTGCAAATTTGAGCACAGAGCACATAAAGACACAGTATTTTCTTTGAAATTTAGCTAAAAATCTGTTATATATCAAAGAAAAGTGTCTGTCTGTTCGTCCGCCCCTAACTCAGCACCCAATGAACCGATTTAAATAATTTTTTCTTTGTTAGATAGGGAATTTTATGTAGTTATCCATCTCATATTTTGTTTTGTTGAAAAACAAAAGTCATGACACAGCCGGGAGTCGAACCCGGATCTTGTAGGCCGTAGACACGGGCGCTCCCTACTGCGCCACGACGACAAAGCGCCAAGCCAGAAAAACCCGCTGTTAACCAGGTTTTTAGAGGCTTTTTTTAGAGTCTTTTTTAGAGTCCTCAAATCGTAAATAAGCATTGCCACGCCTTTGAGTAACCCTATGCCAAAATAAGAGTTCATGATAGAAATGGAATGGAATGGAAAAAAGAAAAATCGACCACTCCCCGCTCTTGTCTTTTCCAAATTTTTCATTGTTTTTCGACTCTTTGCCTATATTTGAGTCATCCATATAGAAATCACGAGTATTTTTTGTGTACTTTGTGCTCAAATCTGTAAACACACTCTTTCCGTCGCACAAGAAATAAAGAAAACACGGCACTAGGAAGGATGCGTTTACAGATTTGAGCCGCAAAGAGTGAGAAGTGAGCCTTGGGGAACAACTTTTCTGTGTGCTTCTAAGCTTTTCCCCACATCATTTCCTAAATACAACTTTTCTAAGCCTGCTTCTAAGCTTCATTCCTGCTTGTTTTTTCTAACTGTTAGCCATTTCCTAAGGCTTCATTTCCTAAGCTTCATTTCCTTAGCTACAGTACTGGACAATGAAATATCATATTTGAAAAACGAGTGCCACTTTCGCGCGCGCTGAAATGCGTCAAAAAATACGGGATTTCTAAATATTAATATTACCATTGTGTAACCCTTAAAAAGAGCTTTCAGAAAATGTATAACACTCATATTTTAAACTCAAAGACAAGGAAGTTACAGACGTGCGAACGTGACGATCGTTTTTCAAATATGATATTTCATTGTCCAGTACTGTAGATTTCCTAAGCTTCATTTCCTAAGCTTCATTTCCTAAGCTTCATTTCCTAGGCTTCATTTCCTAAGCTTCGTTTCCTAAGCATCATTTCCTAAGCTAGATTTCCTAAGCTTCATTTCCTAAGCTTCATTTCCTAAGCTTCATTTCCTAAGCTAGATTTCCTAAGCATCATTTCCTAAGCTACATTTCCTAAGCATCATTTCCTAAGCCGGATTTCCTAAGCATCATTTCCTAAGCTAGATTTCCTAAGCCAGATTTCCTAAGCTTCGTTTCCTAAGCTTCATTTCCTAAGCATCATTTCTTAAGCTTCATTCCCTAAGCTACCGTAATCCCTGCTACCAAAACTAGATAATATCGAATAATATAAAACTAGATAATATAAAATTTTATTAGTTTCTATAGAATTTCTATGTAAACTCGTGGATTTTAGATCTTTATGCAAAAGTGAACGTGACAAAAAGAGAAACGGACCACTCCCAAAAAAGAGCGATTGACTAATCGTTTTCACACCCAATCCCAAGCCTTTCCTCCAATCCCAAGTCTTTCCCCCAATCTCAAATCCATCTATCATTTATTTGTTATTTCGTGAGTCTGTCTATTTGCCTTTTAATCGAAAAAAAGTGACTTGTCCTTTTTGAAAGATTTGATACCATCCATTCTTTTTTTTCCCATTTCCATTTCTGTGTTCCTTTCGAATTTTTCATTCAAGCAAACCGGGAAAATGGTAAATTTATCGATTTTCAATGATTTGATTAGTCTATTTGTCTAACTTTAACTGTTTAGTCTAACTAAATAACTAAATAAGTTTAACTAAATAAGTCTATTTAGTCTATTTAGTCTGTTTAGTCAGCTGGTTTGTGAGTTTTTGGTTAAATTTCTCATAATTTCTCATAGTTTCTCATGTATTCCTTATCTAGGCTAAGACAATAGCCAATAGCTAAAACAATTTCCCTTTTTTTAGAGCCCTGAAAGCGGTGATCTAAGGGTCGAGGGTTCGACTCCCGCGAGCCGCATTTTTTTTTGAAAAAACTTTACTAAAATAGCGAGCTTTGCGTTTTCTAGGGTAATTTTCAACGCTGATTCCGAAAAAAATGGTTTCAGCCTAGGTTTCCGTACAAAAGAACGAAAAAAATTCATTTTTTTGACTGATCTGACACCCCTTAGTAAAACGACTGCAAAAACTTTAAAAATTGATCTACCCCCCCGCCCCCCGTCAAAAATCAACATACCCACCCCTCCCCCCCTCACCCCCCTCCCCACCTTCCCTCTTTTTTTTTTTTTTTTTTTTTTTTTTTTTAATAATTACAAATATTATTTATTTTTTTTTTTTTTGGGGCCGGGGAAAAAAAAAAAAAAAAGCCAAAAACACCCCAAAAACAATAAATAAATCAAACAAAACAAAAAGAAGGAGAAGAAAAAAAACACAAAACCCCCCCCCGCGGCCGCCCACGACCGCCCCAAAAAAAAAAAAAAAAAAGACCAAAAAAAAACCCACCAAAAAAAAAAAAAAGAGGGCCGGCCCCCCCCCCCAACACAAAAAAAAAAAAAAAAAAAAAAAAAAACAACAAAAAAAATAAACAAAACACTATAAAAAAAAAAAAAAGGGAAGTGCCGCGGGGGGGGGCCCACCCCCCCACCCCCCCCCACCAGGAAAACCCCCCAAACCCGCTCGAAAAAACCAAAAAAAAACCAAACCCGCGACTTTAGGGTATTTAAAAACGGTTTTCTTTATTTAAACGGTTTTGTTTATTCGCTAGAAAATTGGGTTTTGAATGAGCTATTACACGTTCAAATCGGACAAATTTAAGTTCATTTCCCAAAAGATTAGCAAAAACCTAAGATTCTCATAAAAGATCACCCACAAAAATGTGTTTTCTATCGAATTTTTACGTTTGAATAGTCATTTAACGCTGAAAAATGTGCTGAAAATGAAGCTGAAAGCATTTTCTAAATCGGTCTTGCAGATTTTTAGGTAGAAAATTGGGTTTTGAATGAGTAAACGTCCAGATCGGACAAATTCACGTCCAGATCGGGACAAGTTTAAGTCCAATCGGACAAGTTTAAGTCCCAAAAAATCCGCAAAAACTCTCTCCCCAACCCAATAAATACGCTATTTACATAATAAAGTTTGTTTGATTTATTTTTTTGCAGGATTCTCTTCGACGGTGTGATGCCATCAGCGGAAAAACCGCTTTCTAAGCTCCTCTGTGGTTGCTATAAATCGGGAGCGGTGAGTTTTCGAAAAGTTTAAAATCAAAAAATTGCATAGAACAACTGTTACAAACTTGTAAACCTAAAATCTAACATGAAGAATGACCAGGCCAGGCCACAGGGGCCACAGGGGACAAGGGACCAGACCTGAAATTGAAGAAAATCGAAAAATCGCCTAAAGCTTCAATTGTGTTTTTGAAAAAAACTAATTTCACTTTAAGAATTGATAAGTCTTGCTCTACAAAATGACATCAAAATCATCAAAATCGGTTCACTAGTTTTAGAGATACAGGCACGCAAAGTGACGCAGACAGTCAAGGATTTAGTTAGGATTCGGACACAGCATATCTACCATTTCTAACTACCGTTTCTAACTACCGTTTCTAACTACCGTATTCTCTCTAATACTGCACCCTGAGCGTCGTCTAAATTCCTCAAAATCTCAAAAGCCGCTTATCAGAACCTATCGATGTGGGGTCGGAAAATGTAGCTGACGATGAGATCTAGTGGGGGATTTGAGTGTTGAGCTCAGGCTCAGGCTCAGGCTCAGCCTCTGTGAAAGCTTGGAAACCGTAAAATAGTCACCAGCTCGGCTCGGCGCGGTGCACTACTATTAGAGAAAATACGGGATATATTGTTGTTCTTCTTTAGCTTTGAAATAGCTTCTTTGCACAAATATTTCCTCTATAATGAGTTCTCTTTTCCTTTCTCCTGTCAAACGTGAATTTTCAACATCCCTTTCCCCTTCCAATCGGTAATTTTCGAATCAGAAATCAAATTTTCGAATCAAATTTGTGTTCGAAAGCATCGTCATTGCAATACTTACAGATCTTTGTGCTCTTATTGCAAAGTACAGTTTGCAAAGTACAGTTTGCAAAGTACAGGGTGTCCCAGAGTTATGGTGATGTACATACTACGTTTACCGTATTCTCTCTAATATTAGTGCACCCTGAGCGTTGCCTAAATTGCTCGAAATCTCGAGAACCGCTTATCAGAACCTATCGATGTGGGGTCGGAAAATGTAGCTGACGATGAGATCTAGTGGAGGATTAAAGTGTTGAGCTTCTGAGTAAGCTTGGGAACCGTAAAATCGTCACCAACTCGGCGGGGTGCACTACTATTAGAGGGAATACGATAAGTCGATTCCAATTAGTTTTTTTGTAGCTTTAAAGCGAGCTTTCAAGAGAGCTTTAAAGCTTTAAAAGCTTATGAGAGCTTTAAAATGATATTCGTAGATTTTTGATGGAATTTGGAATTTTTCAAGCTAATTTTGCATAAAAAGGGTAATGTCCTTTTTCTCAGATTTTGTTCAAGCCTTCAAAACTGCCAGAAGCCTTTCATTTTCGCCAGAACAAAATTAATAACAGTCAATAGACAATCCAATGTCAATAGACATCCAATGTCATTATAATTGGAACCATTTTCAATGGAATCCATTCATTCTTGAAATACAGACTTTTAAAGGTTACTTCCACACTTTTAAAGGTTACTTTCACACTTTTAAAGGTTACTTCCACACTTTTAAAGGTTACTTCACACTTTTAAAGGTTACTTCCACACTTTTAAAGGTTACTTCCACACTTTTAAAGGTTACTTCCACACTTTTAAAGGTTACTTCCACACTTTTAAAGGTTACTTCCACACTTTTAAAGCTTACTTCCACACTCAAATAAGATTTCATAAAACTCTTAGTTCAAAAGATATGGAAAAGCTAAATGATTCATTTTATTAGGTTGTTCGGATATAAACGAGCGTTTTAGTAGTCGACAAAATTTACCTTAAAAACAGAAACAACACAGTTTAATCCAAAGTATATTTACCATTATTATTGATTGCTTCTTGCCATCTTTTGCGCAAAGAATTGATGCCGCTCTTGAAAAACTCAGCCGGAAAAGCTGTGACTCGAAAAACTTGGCGACCCAATTTTGGAAATCTTCACGGTTTTTGAATTTCTCATTGGCTTCTCTCACAACAAAAAGTTTAGCAACGATTGTTTATATCCGAACAACCTAATAACAACCTAATAGCTATGAAAATGCTACATAAAGCTATTTGTGGTCTATATGTCGTAGCCGATTATGAATGAGTGGGTCTAGGAGCGTCCAACCATCAAGTATTTAGTAACATTCAACGCAGAATTATTAATAATTATGTTAAATTTTTAAAATTAGCAAGATTTGATAAAAAGAAATGAATTTACGGAGCTTCAAAGTTCTCTTTCGAACAAAAATTTTGCTTTTGCTCTAATTTTTTTTCTTTTTATCAAATCTTGCTAATTTTAAAAATTTAACATAATTATCAATGATTCTACGTTGAATGATACTAAATACTTGATGGTTGGACGCTCCTAGACCCACTCATTCATAATCGGCTACGGGGGTCCCGCCGATTTTGAATGAAACGTTGTAGCGCCGGCAATTTTTAACCTAAACTCACAAATTTGGTACCAATCGACGCAGAATTTAATTCGCTACAAGATCATATAATATTGTCCTCATACATTAAAGGGTTGCTCTACTAGAAAGATTTGCCAAAAAATTTCATTCATAATCGGCTACGACATATACAGTACTGGACAATGAAATATCATATTTGAAAAAACGATCGTCACTTGCGCGCGTCTGTAACTCCCTTGTCTTTGAACTTAAACTATTAGTGTTCTACATTTTATGAAAGCTCTTTTCAAGGGCTACACAATGGTAATATGAATATTTAGAAATACGGTAAAGACAATGGAGTTACAGACGCGCGAATGTGACGATCTCTTTTTTCGAATATGATATTTCATTGTCCAGTAGTGTATATTTTGATGTAATCAATGGAAATGTAATCAATCAATGGACCAAGTGTAATCTATGGACCAAGCAGCTTCTGCAAAAGCTTGGAAACCGTAAAATAGTCATCAACTCTGGCTCAGGCTCAGGCTCTGCCGGGGTGCATTACTAGTAGAGAGAATCCAGTATTGCTCATTCACAAAAACGGATTTCACCATCGTGTTCAGCGTAGTCAAAACCCTATGGGGTTTTGGTTTCAGGTCGAAATCCCATTGTCAAAATCTGTCAAAATCAAAATCCCAACTCTTGTACAACTACAGTATACCAGTAAAAGTATAATCATACTTTCACGATTACTTTACTTACTTTACTTTCGTTTCAGCAAACAATCGAAGTTGACGGAAACGACGATATTTACAGTAAACGAGAGCCACTTATCAGCGAAGATACGTAAGAAATGTCTAAGCAATTTCTAAGCAATGTCTATCTAATCTATCTATCAAATTAGTCTAAATATCTATCTAAATTATTGGATATTGGATTAAATGTTGAATTAAAGATTTAGAAATTCCATTTAAATCCATTTAAACTTCTAAAAATTCAGAAAACCAGTCATTTGTGAAGAGGAGGAGACTCAAAATCAGCAAAAAGAGGTTTGTTTTTGAAAAATTGAGAACTGTAGATGATAAAAAGCTTGCAAAAGCTGGCAAAGGCTTACCAAAGCTTACGAAAGCTATAAAAGCTTGCCAAAGCTTACAAAGCCTTACAAAGGCTTCCAAAAGCTGACAAAAGCTTACAAAAGCTATAAAAGCTTGCCAAAGCTTACAAAGCCTTACAAAGGCTTACAAAAGCTTGCCAAAGCCTTACAAAGGCTTACAAAAGCTTACAAAAGTTTACAAAAGCTTACAAAAAGCTATAAAAGCTTACAAAAAGCCTACAAAAGCTTACAAAAGCTTGCCAAAGCTTACAAAGCCTTACAAAGGCTTACAAAAGCTTACAAAGCTTACAAAGGCTTACAAAAGCTTGCCAAAGCCTTACAAAGGCTTACAAAAGCTTGCCAAAGCCTTACAAAGGCTTACAAAAGCTTGCCAAAGCCTTACAAAGGCTTACAAAAGCTTACAAAAGCTTACAAAAGCTTACAAAAGCTTACAAAAGCTGACAAAAGCTTACAAAAGCTTACAAAAGCTTACGAAAAGCTTATAAAAGCTTACAAAAGCTTGCCAAAGCTTACAAAGGCTTACAAAAGCTTACAAAAGCTATAAAAGCTTACCAAACCTTAAAAACTATAGAAATCTAACTTTTCTAGCTGTTAGAAATCTAATTTATTGTAAGAAAGCTTTTCTTAAGAAAGAAAATCTAGCTTTTCTTACAATGATCTAGAAAAAAACTAGAATGCCAAAAGAAATCTAAAATGGTAGAAAGTTAAGACATCAAAAGTTAATACATCAAAAAAAAAATCAATTTTAGGAGAGCTCAAAACCCGAAAAAATGAGCTCAAACTGGTTCAATTCAGCCAATCGATCAGATGAGCCGGTAAGTCAGCTGAATATCTTGAAAAGTTGAAAATAAGTTCAGGATTACTGTTTCTTAAAATATTGGGTTGGGGACTATGACTCGGCGGACAAAAGAAAGGCAAATTTATTGAACATAAAACCATCAATTCATTCCAAATAATTTCCATTATTATTGACGACTTCTGCCCATTTTACAGGCAATTTGCGGATTCCTCCTTCGTAGTAGGATTTTGGTTTGTGTGTGAGACAAGTGTGAGACTCAAAAATGGAGGACTGGAGATGTCCCAGTTTGAGCACTTTCTTCAAAAGAAACCCATTTTGGTGTCAATAGAAAAGTTGTAGAGAATCAAAAATGAGGCTTATAGCCAAATTTGCAAAAAGATACACTTAGTAGTTTCGCTTAAAATGCAAGTTTTGTGAAAATTCGTAAATTTCGCATTTCTTGAAAACCAGTGTTTGAATCGTTCTGAAAATTTGGATATAAGCTTGATTTTTGATCCTCTACAACTTTTCCATTGACACCAAAATGGGTTTCTTTTGAAGAAAGTGCTCAAACTGTCACATATGACATTTTGTCCGCCGGGTCATAGTCCCCAACCCAATATCTAGAATATTAGCTTATATTGAGGCAATTTCAAGTCATTTTCCTTTTTCTCTTTTTTCTTTTTTCTTTCTTCCTTTCTTTTTTCTAGAGCCTTTTGAGTGGACAATTAAGTTCTCTCTTTCACTTTCATCCATTGAATTTCATTCTATATTATTTTTCTATGCTTTTCTATCATTCTTTTAGATTATTTTTGAGATTAATCTATCTCAAAACTAGATTCTTTTATGTAAATTTCTGGTAGATGTTTAAGAAAGTCGTTTTAGAAATTTGTTTGTTTAAGAAATTCGTTTTTGAAAGTTTTTTATTTAAGAAATTTGTTTTATTAGGTTGACGCAAAAGTCTTTTTCATTTTTTTCGTACTTCTTTTGAAAAATAACAAAATCATCAATTAACCTATGGTTTGCTCTAAATGAAAAGTGTTTATTGTTCAATTTCCCATCTTTTTAAGTCAATTTGGGTTCACTTTCAAGCAAATTCGAGAGTGAAAACGGGTTTTTCATAAAAATCTATAAAAACCTCTATAAAGAAATTGGCTGAATCAATTTCTCTGAAAATCTGAAAAAATATCTAACTTTTTGTGCTCTATCTTTTATTTATTAACATCAAGATTGATTTCCTTAGCTAAAGCGTCTAAAATGCATCATCGAGCCGTCGCCTTTTTTGACTACCCGACTTCAGGCTCTCAAAAAAATCTAGACATAAGACATTTTAAACTCGTTTTAATGTCATTTTGCAGAAAAATAATTGGCCTTTCGAATGCAATAAATCGTTGTTCAATTGGTGCATTTGTTACTTTTTAACGGAAGTACGAAAAAAATGAAAAAGACTTTTGCATCAACCTAATAGAAAGTTTTCTTTTGTTTTTTTTTTGGTACTTTCCCATTGTATAATGGCCTAAGCCCAAGCCTAAACCTAATGGGGGGCGGATGCACAAGACCAAAAGCTTGCACCTTAGCTCCGGGAACCGGCTGAGATCCAAAAATTGGGGGTTCAGCCCAAACCCAAATAGACTTAGTGCTGGCGCGCCCGCCACCCCAAGTCCAAGCCTGAGCGTGAGCGTGAGCCTGAGCCTGAGCCTGAGCCTAAGCCCCACAGCATCAATTCCATTATACTCCCACAGCATCAATCCCAGTATACTCCCACAGCATCAATCCCAGTATACTCCCACAGCATCAATCCCAGTATACTCCCACAGCATCAATCCCAGTAAACCCTCACAGCATCATTCCCAGTATACCCCCACATCGTCAATCCCGTTATACCCCCACAGCATTATTCCCGTTATACCCCACATTTAAATAAATTAACTTTTAACAAAAAAACAACAAAATTTAGTTTCCATCAATCCTATTATACCCCCACAAGTGGCAGGTTTTAAAAAAAACTTTTCTAACTATTGGGTTGGGGACTATGACTCGGCGCCAAACTTTAAAGGGACTTTTTGCACACATAAAGCCTTCTTTAAACATACGTTTGGTTTCATCAAAAGGATCCACTATTTCTCTACAAAATCACTTTTGAGAGATTCCACAAAGCTTTTCTTTCGTGGAGTTTATGGACTCCCAAACACAGCTAGTCAAAATGGCAAAGAGCCCGACTCATCATTTGAACAGTTTCTTTCACATAAACCTTCTTTGGTGTTTATATAAAAAAGATAGAGCACATTCAATTACTTAAGTTGCCAAATTTGCAGGAAGATCCCACCAATGGTTTTTTCTAGATGACAGTTTGTAGTTTTTGTGAAAAAATGGCCTTTTCTTGAGCGGAGGCGCTGTTTGAGTTTTCTTTTAAATGTCATTTTGTAGAAAATTAGTTAACCATTCTACTCATATCAAACGCATATTATTTGACGAAGTCGAATAGAAGTTTTAGACATTTTTTTGATTTTCGGCGCCGACTCATTCTCCCCAACCCAATACAATCCACAATTCGTATCCTCTGTGGTGGGTAAAGAGAACATTAAACCCGGCGGCGGTAGAAAATGAGAATCGAAAAATATTTGTTTCTTCTTTGGGAAAAATAGCATACGATTAGATGCAAATTTTTGGCATTTTAATTTTTTGTGTTAATGTTTTGTGTTAATGTTTTGTGTTAATTTTTTGTGTTAATTTTAATGTTGGCATGTTAATTAATTAAATGTGGGGTTAAAATAATCTGTCAAAAAAGAGCTCTTTGAAGAATTGAGAAATGAAATGAGAAATGAAAAATGAGAAAAGGTTCCTTTGGAAAAGAATGAATTGGAAAAGAATGAATGAAAAAAAATTGGAAAAGAATTTAAATCAAAAACAAATTTACATAACTAAGGTAGCATTTTTGAAGTTTATTCTTTAGAAAGCTCTACAGCGCGGTGCAAAACCATAAGCCACCCCCCAAAATTTCAATTTTCTGCGGCTCCGGTGCCAGTGACAAAAAAACTGAAAACGTAGTTAGATTCAGGACCAAAAATAACCCTGAAACTCCAAAAATCATCGACATAGCATGAATAGGGAAAATGTAACAGCCAAAAAAAACGAAAATTCACCCGGTGCAAAACCATACGCCACCCCCCCCCCCCAAATTTTGGTGTCGTTGTCGCATTTTTGTTCAATTTTTATGATAACAAGGTTTATTTATAACAGTTTAATAACAATAACAGTTTAATAACAATAACAGTTTAATAACAATAACAGTTTAATATTTTGTTGTCTGTCCCTGAAAACTGACCACGTGAAATATTCGACTCGGCATGCTGTCAACTAGCTTCTTGATGGTGCTTCTTGGAATGGCATTGGAATGTATACAGTACTTAATTGAACTGTATACAGTACTTAATTGAACCCTATACAGTACTTAATTGAACCCTATACAGTACTTAATTGAACGCTATACAGTACTTAATTGAACTGTATACAGCACTTAATTGAACCCTATACAGTACTTAATTGAACCCTATACAGTACTTAATTGAACTGTATACAGTATTCCTGGTGTACTGGTGTACTGGTGTACTGGTGTACTGGTGTACTGGTGTACTGGTGTACTGGTGTACTGGTGTACTGGTGTACTGGTGTACTGGTGTACTGGTGTACTGGGTACTGTGTACTGGTGTACTGGTGTACTGGTGTACTGGGTACTGGTCTGGGTACTGGGTACTGGTGTACTGGTGTACTGGTGTCTGGGTACTGTGTACGGTGTACTGGTACTGGTGTACTGGTGTACTGGTCTGGGGTACTGGTACTGGTGTACTGGTACTGGTGTACTGGTACTGGTCTGGTGTACTGGTGTACGTGTACTGGTGTCTGGTGTACTTGTCTGGTGTACTGGGTACTGGTACTGGTGTACTGGTGTACTGGTGTCTGGTGTACTGGGTACTGGTGTACTGGTGTACTGGTGTACTGGTGTACTGGTGTACTGGTGTACTTGTGTACTGGTGTACTGGTGTACTGGTGTACTGGTGTACTTGTGTACTGGTGTACTTGTGTACTTGTGTACTGGTGTACTTGTGTACTGGTGTACTTGTGTACAAGTATAACTATCGGTGTACTTGTAGTACGTCAATGCAAAGGCCAAGCCTTGTGCTGTACCTGTTTTCTTTTCTCTGATCTGATTTCGCCCGCTGAATTCCCGTGTTTTCTCTTCGGATTGTTTACTGAAAGACTCAAATTTTCCTCTTTCGCAGACTCAAATCTTCCTCCAATCATCGCCACTTTTTCCTGTTGTCAAATAACATTTTTTCTGAACGATTCAGTACACAAATCTATTCAGACACCACTGTATTCTCCAGTTTTTCATTTTTTTTTTCATTTTTTGATCAATTTGAACGGTCCTCTCGAAATTCAATTGAAAAATTGGAAAATTGAAAAATTGAGGGAAATTGTTTTCTCAAAAGTTCCCTTTGAAATTCAAAACTTTAAAATTTTCTCTTTTCTCTTTTTCCGTTTTTTCAAGGACATCGTTTAGCACTCATTTTTTTGATAAAAAGTGACCACAGATATTTTTGTACTTCGATTTGTTGAACTTGCGACTCTTTTTGATGAAACTTTTCATTTTTAAGAATCTGGATTTCTTTCTTCCTTCCTCTTCCTTCTTATCCTCTTCTTTCTTCCTTCATCTTCCTTCTTATCCTCTTCTTTCTTCCTTCCTCTTCCTTCTTATCCTCTTCTTTCTTCCTTCCTCTTCCTCCTTATCTTCCTCTTTCTTCTCTGGCAAGAAGATACCGGATAATTGCCAGATCGACTAGGAGTCTCGGAGTTTGGGGACTTTTCTATTTTACTCTATAACTCGATGTCCAATTGTCAGATCGATTTGGGATTGTTTTTAAAATGATTCTTATGAAATTTGGTTATAGAAAACCACAATTTACTTGGTACACTCTGATGTAAGAACATAGAGAAAATTTGTGTCAAAGTTGAGCTACCCAACTGGAGCTCAACTTT